GGGGGGGGGGGGCAGCTTGGAATTATGGTTCTCGGTCATCACTTAGGAATGGAACCTGTGGGGGCCTTTAAGCGGAGGGAAAAGGGAGCCAGGACACCTGGGTTCTCTGCAAGGGAGAAGGGAGAGGATGCTCATTTTGTAGATCTAAACTGATGCAACGTGTTTCGTGGCTCCTCTCAGCTGTGCTCCTGAAGTAAATAAGCTTCTTGCCGGGGGGGGGGGGGCACGGGATGCCCTCTGGAGAGCGGTTCTCTGTGTGGCCTGTGAAGGATTAACCCCTGCTGCAGGCTCTGCACCCCCCCCCCACTGAGAGGGGGGCATGCCAGCTGCTTCACCCGCCCTGCCTCTCCCTCAGCTGAGAATGGGTAAAGCTGTCCTGGGTGAAGGGCAGAGCTGAAAAAGCGCTCCCCCCCCCCCCCCCCCCCCCCCCCCCCCGGGGGGGCGGGGGAGGGGGGCCGCGGGGGGGGGGGGGGGGGCGAAAAAACACCCCCCCCCCCCCCCCCCCGTGGGACCTCGGCCAGGGAGGCTCCATAGTGGGCAGCTTTACTCTGGGGACCCTGCTGGACGGCCCAATCATGCTGCCCCACAGCACAAGGGGTCCCTCCACTCGCTCAGCTTCCAGAGCAACACAAGCCCCTTTCTGTCAGCAGCAACCGTTCACATTCTGCACCGGGCAAACAGGCATTTTTCTATGGAAAGGAAAGGACACAAGTCTGGCATAACAGCAACATTTGAAAACCCAAAGGAGCCTGTCAGCCTGCCAGGACACCGACCTTGAAGTGTCCACTGTGAGGTTAGAGCGAGAGACTGCAAAGCTGGAATTCAACGGCCGTGAGCAGTTCTGCTGCTGGCCTGTAATCATCACACTATGCACAATTAATTACTGGCTTGCCTAGTGGCCGGAGCTGAGCCATTTGCATTATCAGCAGCGCCTACTTTGTAAATGGCTACTGGCAGTAGGTGGCTGTCCACCGTCTGTAGTTTCTGCATTTACATTTCTTCCAGCATCACTGATTACAGTTCCCTCTCCTTCACCGTTTGTACTGTAAATAGACCTGAAATTCTCGGTAACACGTGGGTCATAATCCCAGAAAGTTTGCATCAAAACGGATGTGGTCATCTTTAAGGGTTGCCGCTACTGCGGCAGACTAGCACAGCTACCTCGCCAGGAGCAGAAGTCCAGCGTGGTCTCTGCGTCCTTCAACAACAGTTTCCAAAGCAACCAGACACTACGACGGGGAATGATCCATCGGACCTCCTGCAGCTGGTTGTGGACCAACTCTAGCCCTCGCTGTGCCCACAGAGGTAGGAAATAAAGGCTAACACATGCATCGCAATCCTTAACTGGCCCAAAACCAGACCAGTTTTCTCCTCTACGTTCCAACGCGAAGCGTACGACAGAGGTGCCAGGAACAGACCACTGCTGCTTTCTGCCCACCGCTGATGGCCACTTGCAGTTTCTACCAAGATCCAGGCTGGGCACTAGAAAGTTTCTTTTAACCTCCATGGTCATGACTGGACAAAAATCTCCCTGAAACTGTTTTGAAGCCTGGCCTCCCCAAGCCAGTCAGGATGGCCACTGCCCATGCTGACCGGGGACTGGGAGTCGTAAGCCAGGGAGAGGTGCTGGTGCCTCTCTCTTTAGCAACACGCTCAGTCCAGATCTGAGGGGTTGTGGAAATACGAGGACACGGACAGAGAAAGGAGTGTCGAATGGCATGTGGGGACATGAGAACACAAGGCAATAGAGGGCGGAAGGGCGGCTCGCCCAGGGCCGCGGGAGATGGGGTCGTTACTCCCCGAGAAAGCTCTGCGTTCACACACAGCCTGTGCGGGCACTGCCCACCTGAGGCGGTTCCGCAGGCTGGTGACCTCGCGGTTCATGGACTCGGCGGACTCGGTGACGTCCTCGAGCTCGCGCTGCATGCGGCGGCAGTTGGCGTTGGCCCGCGAGGCCTCCTCCTCGGCCTCCTCCAGCTGCCGCTTCAGTTGCTTCAGCCGCATATGGCCCTTTTCAACCTGCCAGAACAGGGGAGAAGAAAGGTGGGGGGTTTGTGTGTGTGCAAACGTGAGACAAGCTTAGCTTGGCTGCTGAGCCACCTGCCTCTTGGCCCTTCCTTGCTGGCACAGAATTATTTTAAAGCTTCAGATCGGTTGTTTTGGAGATGAATTGTTAGTCTTTGTTCTAAATTTGCAACCTTAGGGCTATTTGCAGGGCCTTCGCCACCCCTGCTGCTCTCCGGGGGCGCCATCCACAGCTCCCAGTTGGGTGGTGGATTCTGGATGTTGTAGTCCAATGCTTCTGGAGGGCAAGAGGCTGGGGAAGGTTGAGTTTTAGCATCTTCTTTGCCTACTTTGTGCTATCTGTGCTTTTGCTGTATTTGAGTTATTTAAGCGCAGGATAATATGAGGGGTTAATTGCCCCCTTTTGCCCTGTTTGTTGTGCCTCTGAAGGTCTTTGTTGAAACAAGGGGCTGAATTCCCTCGAGTTCCTTAGAGCCCCTCTTTTTTCCTTCCCTTACACTGATCCTTCAAGATGATTATCGTCTTGCTTGCCCATTTCCCCTCAAAATAAAATAAAATGGATAAAATTACTGATGTCAAAATGCAGGCTGCAGGGAAGATATTTAAAGAAGACTGAGCGGGTGTTTCATTTCTAAATTTGAATTTATTTATAGGCAACTTTTTGCCAAAAGGCCTTCAAAGTAACAAAGAAAAGAAAAATAATATGAAATGCAAAACAAAACAAGAACCTGAATAAAATATATGTCTAAATATAAACTAGCACAAGGGAGAAGGAAGCTAGCAAAGGGATAAGCAAACAGAAATGCCAGGGTTGAAGCTGCAAGCCTCACCCTGGAAAAATGTTAGCCCTAATGTTGAATGTATAGATGGGGATTTACAAAGCACGAGGGAAAGACACTCTGCACATGCTCATAAACTCCTTTTGCCATGCCTTTGTTGTTTCCTAGAGCATCAAAAACTTGCCCCATGGTTCAAAATAAGCAAGGGGAGCATGTGTGTGACTCCAGCGTACCTGGTCTTTGAACTGATCCGCATTTCTCCTCTCCTCATCCACCTGTAAGATCACTTCCTTCAGTTTCTTCTCTGCCCTTCGCCCGTGTTTTCCTACCTGGATCCTCTCCCTAAGCAGTGGAAAGGTTGGGAAGGAATATGACAGTGAGCAGATACGAGCGGGATCCAGACTTAGTCACAGAGTATACCCAATGAAATCAACGGGGCTCCAGTCGGACAAATTCTATTGATTCTGGCGTATGATTGAGTTGGGATCCAGCCCTTTAGGTCTGTCTGCTTCCACTGCAAACATACATCCTTAATCTGCAGTTTTTTCCATTGCTCCTTCTCCATCCTGAGCACAGACCATCCCTGGTAGGATAAGCAAATCTATGCAAGGGTGCTGGGTTTGTGCACATCCTGGAGCTTCAGTCTTTAAAAGTACAGCACAGAATCAAGGCAGAGGGAGTGGTCTGGACACATCAGGTGCCGCACAGCTGCTGGCAGCAAAGGGGTGCGGCCCTAAGAACTGAACTGGCTGCAAGACCACCGGGGGCGCAGGAAAGAGCCTACACACAGGTGTGCGCATAGAACGGACTGGGAGTGAGCGTGCAGGTTTCTCTAGCCAGCTTCCTCTTGAGACCAGTGCTCTAGCCACTATCCTAGGAGCGCCCCAAAGGTGCCCTGACCCCACCCTCCCACTGCCAAATGTGCAGCAACCCCTCTTTCCTGGCTGCCTGCACTGTCCGCTCCCTCCCCGAGATTCTCAGACAGACTGCCGTTTCCCCGCCCCCACAAGCAGGGAGGAGGATGGAGCAACTCAGGATCACTGCTGTGTGTGGGCGCATCCACCCTAACCCCACACCAGCATCGCCGCAGAGCTGAAAAGCCACGACTGTGAGGAGAAGGGAACGCACAGCCCTGGCCCCATCACTCTACCAGCACTCCTGTTCCAGCTGCTCCTCCAGCTGGGCGACCTTGGACTCCAGAGTTGCGATCATCATCTTGTACTTGGACTTGATGGATAAGTCCATCTCCCCCAGCTTGGCCTTCAGGTCTTTGTTCTGGCGTTCCAGCTGCTGCCGAGCGTTCTCGGTCTTCTGCGAGAAGCTGCGCTCAGCCGCCAGCTCAGTGGTGATTGTCTCTACCTGCAGAGATGAGAGGGCGGGGTGGCGATCAGGAGGAGGGCCCAGGGCTGCGAGCAGAGGAAGAGTCAGAGGAGCGAGGAAGAGAGATGTTGCCCAGAGCAAGAGGCGCTCACCTGCATGCTAAGCTTGCGGTACCGGTCATTCATGAGCTCCATGTTGCTTTGCTGCTCATCCAGCTCCTCCTCCAGCTGTCCAATTCGTGCTTCCAGGTGCCGTTTTTCATCCAGAAGAGCTGATCTGAAACGCAATTTGGGGTGGGGGTGTAGAGGCTACTCAGATGCGTACAGGAGAAACTAAGGAAACAGCCTCAAGATCACTTAGGCAATCATTTAGCATTACTTTTCTATAATCAGATGAAAGCAAAGTTAAAATGATGGTTTTTATTACTCTATTATCTAGCAATACCCATAACATTTCTTCTGTAAAGTTCACTCAGCCAAAAGTCCCATTTAGCACAGGTCCCCTGCAATGTTAACTAGTAGCTTCCTCCTGTCTTGAACTGCTTTCTGCTCGGCAAGACAGCAGCATTACCAGTGACCAAACTCTTAACTGCCTTTTAGCCAGTCAGTGCATATTTGGGGGATAAGCAGGTTTTTTCATTTTTCTCAACTGTTCAGTGACGAGGGTGGGTAGGGGAGACCTTAAAGCCCTGGTTTATTTTCAAAGATCTCCCACTGTACAGAAAAAAGTTGCTATTTTGCTAGAAACAAATGAGGGATCTTTATTAAAGCCCAACCCTAAAAGGGACCTTTTAATTAAAGGCACACTAGCCCCTTGAAAGCTCAGTATTGTTTTGCTTGCCCATACTATAAGGCACAAAAGGGCCAGGAATAACAATTTGCCTCTGCACTCACTTGCCACTGTTCCCATTGGCCAGTTCATCTGCCAGGTCATCCCGCTCTTGTTGCGCCTGTCTCTTGGCTCGTTCCGATGCTGCCAGATCCTGAAAGTGATGAGAAAGGGGCAGCAGAGGGGTTGAGCATGGAGGAAAATGTTCAAGGCCTCACAGGTGAATCCACAAAGACAGGACCCACTGCCCATGGTTCAGAAAAAGAGCGGCATCTTCTCATGAGAGGGTGATGCAGGAAGACCTCACCTAAGGATGGGCCTTGTGGGCTGCAAACCAGGAGGGTCCAAACAGGGTTGCTGTCTATTCCACCTTTCCCCACTCCCAATCATACGATCTACCAAGAGAAATGCCTGTTCCTCAGGAGCATCGCCAGCCTGTTCCAGAGAAGGTCACGCTCACCTCCTGCAGCTGCAGCAACTCCGCCTCCAGATTCTTCAGCTTCTTCTCACTCTCGCGCGACTGGATGAATATCTCTTCCCGGGCTGCACGTGTTTCCTCGACTTCCCGCCAGATCTCCTTCATCTGGGTCTGGGGGTAGAGAGAGAGTTGGCAAATGGCACCCAGTAAAGCGGCAGCCCTCCTTCCGGCTGTACCGCTCTCAGCACAGTATCTTGCCTAAAAGTTAGGAATGTAAGGCAGGTGGATAGAAAAGCCTCCCCCCTTCCCCCAAAAATGCTGTGGCGGCCCCCTCACCCCCATATCTTACCTACAGCGCTGCAGGCTCTGCACATGAAAGAAGCATCGTCACACATCTGTCCCCTTTTAATCCCTCCCTGCACTTCATGTCTAAGTGTCAGATTCTAGAATGTAAGTTCCTCAGGGCAGGAACCTGTTCTCATGCTGTGCAGCGCGTGAGAATTTTTTAAGAGGGGGAGAGGGAGAGAAAGCAGAAAAACAGAGGAGCTGCCTTATGCGGTCCATTCCACTGGTTCATTTATCACGGCCAGGCTTTCCAAGATTTTGGATACAGGTCTTCCCTGGCCTTGCCCAGAGATGACAAAGACTGAACCTGGGGCCTGTGGCAAGGAAAGCACAAGCATGCCTCTAAATGGAGGCACGCCTCACGCACACGTACCTGCAACTTGCGCAGCTGCTTCACTGCCTCATCCCGTCCCTTGTTGGCGGCATCCAGCTGCCCCACTGCCTCCTGGAGGTCGAGCTCCAGCTTCTTCCGGGCAGCGAGTGCTTGGGCCCGCTGCTTCCGCTCAGCATCCAGCTCAGCCTCCAACTCCCTCACCTGGGGGCGCAACAACAGGGCAGAAACGCCCAAGAGAAAAGACAGTTGCTCTACACTGAAAGTTATGCCAAGATCTGCAAGCTCTCCGCCTCCCTGGCCCCTCAGCCCCACCCCATGCAGTGTGTCCACAGCTGCAGAAGGGATGGAGTCTCCAGGATGGCCCAGGGAAAAAAGAACGGGAATGGGCTATGATGCAAGGGCTCCTTGCTCACGTGTGGAGTTCAGTGCAGCGCACAAGGAAGTGTAAGACAGACATTAGGAATTAGAAATGCCCCCACTCAGAAAGTCTGCTGGAAGGTGTGACCCCCTTCCACGCTTCATCCAGTTCTGGGTCTTGGGGATGATTCTCTTTCTCAAGCGCTGACGTGTGTGGTCCAGGACCAGGGGGTGTCTTTGCGCGTCTACTGAGGCAGGGTTGCTTGCTTGCTGCCCACAGCAGAAACCTTGGCCTCGCACTGGCCCATTTCCAAAACGCAGTTCATCTACTCCAGCATTCTGGGACTTGTACAGGAGCCGCCTGGGCAGGCCTGGTGCTTCAGCGGCTCCTCCGCTCCAGGCGGCAGGCCAACCCGGCGCAAAGCTCATCTTGCTCTTATGGCACTGGCCCCATGATCGGGGGCCCCCTTCCTGTGCTTTTGCTTGTCCCCAACTTCACGCCAGGTCTTGGGGCATCACTCCTGGACATCTCAAGTTTCCACTTGCCTTCACTCTCCCACCCTCCTATACTTGCCATTTTCTGTTTAGCCCTGCAATTTCCAATATTTTCAGAACTGAAAGTTCACTGTTAGGATTTTTTAAAAATTACCTAATCACACAATTCTCCAAAGGGCTCAGCTGGGCAACCTACATGCTCATCTCCTTCCATCCTAATGACAGCCCTGCCAGGCAGGCCTGCCTGAAAGAGGGTGCCCAGCTCTCATCAGTGTGGCTCCACTGCCTGAACCGCTGCGCCACTGCGAGCCCAGCAGCTTCCTCCGGGAGCCCTGCGTCTCGCATGCACCGCCTGTGCCGGCGACGTCTGAGGGGGGCTGGGGCGACCCGGCCTCCTCCCTACCTGCTTGCTGAGCAACTTCTTCTTGTCGTCGTTGGCATCGTCACGGCTCTGCAGCTCCCTCTCGTGTTGCGCCTTAAGGGCCTGCATGTTGACCTCCAAGCGCAGCTTCCCGTCCTCGGTGGCCTGAAGCTCGTCTTCCAGCTCCTCCAGCTGGGCTCGCATCTCTTGCACCTGTTGCTCCAGGCTCCGCTTGGAGCGCTCGAGCTCATGCACCTGGTTTGGAGCAGGCGGAGAACGAAGGAATGAAAGACCCGATCCGGTCCCGGGATGACTTGTGCCACCCATCAGCCAACAAGCCAGGCATGGCTGCCTCCCAGTTATGGGAGGTGCAGTCCAACAGGCCAGGAGGGCACAAATTCATGATATTATTTAACACTGCCCTCTTAACTCCCTGTCCCTTCAGGTCCTTATCCCTCTTTCCAGAGAAGGTCAGCCTGGCACCTTTTTGCACCTTTCGTCTCTACGTCACTACGTGGTCCTTCCCAGCCAACCCACGAGTGCCCGGAACTCCCTTACATTCTTGCCGACATCGTCCTTGGAGCTGACCAGGTCGTCCATGTCAGCCCGCAACTGCTTGTTCTGCCGCTCCAGCTCCTCCCGGGCGTCCAGTGCCTCTTCCAGAGCACGACTTAGTGACAGCACTTTGGTCTCTTTCTCCCGGGCGTCTGCTTCCGCGTGATCCCTCTCCTCGGCGTAGCGGGCAGAGATCAGCTTTTCCTCCGCCAACATCTGCCAGAAAACCAAACAGGTCTTAAGTAACATAAATGGTGACAAACTTGTACAGGATCCTTGGACAGAGGTGGAAGGTCCTTCAAATCACACCCATTTGCCAGACTGAAGCCCAAGCTTCAAAGGTTAGATGCATCATCTGAAAAGTGCGTACAAGATGTTCGGGCCCTGACTATCAACTAGGCCTGGTGGGAGAAGACTCAGGATGCGGTAAGCCACACCTACCGGGGATAGGCCAGGATGTCATCTGGGTCTGTTATAACTCATATTTCGTTTTTGACACAAGATAGAGTCTGTGCCCGTGGAAATCAGCCTCAAAGCGTGTAGACAAGCACAGCTAGTTGGCGCTCTTGGATTGTTGTAAATTGCACACACAGTGATTGGACTGGTGTCTATTTCCCTTGGAAGCATCAAGGAAAGTCACATAATCTTTTTTTGCGAGGAGAAGCACATGCTGCTTTCAGGGACACTTGCCCATTTCCGCGCTCTTTCCTGCAAATTGCAGGTGAGCTGGTTTGATGAAACCGGCTAACTTGGATGAACCTAAACCCAGAGTGAAGTTCCTCTTTGTCAACAAGCAGTTTGGCGGAGCAGCTTGCCTGGCTTAAGGACACACTTTGGGGAGAGGGGAAAGTTATCCCCAGGGAGGAAGACAAGCTGTGATGCGGAGGAGGCCTCCAAGCCCCAAGCAGAGAAGCAGTTCAGTTAACTGCCAAAGAAGTGGGGTGGGGGAACTGGAGGCAGTTCTGAGAAAATAACCCAGCTGTAGCAGGGTACACGTCTGGGCAGAGATGCTGACCGTCAGACCCAAGGGCCAAATCCAGCCCCCTGGGTTTACCAACTGGCCACATCCCCTTCCCTGGTCATGCCGCATATGATTTTATTTATTTATTTGAACTATTTGTATCCTATATACAAAAAAAGGTCCCAGGATGGCTTACAAAAACTGTAACAATTGATAAGAAAGAACAACCATAAATATAACAAAACATAATACCAGCAAAAACAGAATCAAAGTCAAAGTCAAAATGTGACCATGAGTGTTAAAACCAATTAAAATTCCTAGTTTATTTATTTATTTATTAAAACATTTTTATGCTGCCCCATTCGCCGAAGCCTCGGGGCGGCTTACAACTATAAATTTAAAAAATTATAATATTAAATTAAAAAATATAAACATTAGATTAAAAATACAATATGAAATAAGCCACCCTGGCCAGATAAAATCCAATAATACTAACAGTTAAAATGCCGCTTAAATAAAAAGGTCTTCGCCTGGCGCCGAAAAACAAATAACGACGGCGCCAGGCGGACTTCTCTGGGGAGCACATTCCATAGGTTGGGCGCCACCGCAGAGAAAGCCCTCCTCCGAGTACCCACCCTCCTGATTTCTTTCACGGAGGGCTCCCGGAGAAGGGCCTCTCCCGCCGATCTCAAGGGGCGGCCGGGCAAATATGGATGTAAGCGCTCCTTCAGGTAACCAGGACCCAAGCCGTTTAGGGCTTTATAGGTCATCACCAACTTTAAAATGGAAGGTAAATAAAAAGGTTTCCACCTAGCACCAAAAGGAATATCAAGTCGGTGACCGGCGAGCCTCTCTGGGGAGCGCACTCCAGAGTCGTTGGTTGTTCCCCGGCTTTTGTGCAGTTCCCACCCCCTGAACTGCCTTTCCTAAGGTATGGTTGCTGGCAGTCAAAGCTAAAACACACTATTGTCTGGGGGGTTTTGCCCCAGCCTGTAACTTTTCCGTCTCACCCACAACTGGAAGCCACCTCGGACAGCTCCACTGGCCTGAGAACGGCTGCACAGCTCTGGTTTTGGGGAAATCCAACTGAGCTGACGGAGGGCAGAAAGGTAGTCGGGGGGGAAATGCCTGCCTCCACTTGGCAGAGGGGCTTCCTGGGGCAACACAGGCCTCACCTGGTCGAATTTCTTTTGCTTCTTCTCAAGTGCTGAGACCACCTGGCGTTGCTGGTCGAGGGCGACCGTGACGTCATCCAGTTCCTGCTGCAGACGAGTCCGCCCTTTCTCCAGCTTGTCGCATGCCTGGACACGCTCTTCAAGGCGCAGAGAAAGCCCCTCCACCTCCTTGGTTGCCCGCCGGCGAGCTTCCTCGATCGCCTCGGCCACCCCAGCATCTTCCTCCAGCTTCTTCTTCGTCTCCATTACCTGGTGAATTTGTTGCAAAGGAATCACACACTGCTCACAGACGCACACGTCGGTGTGGCCTCCCACTATCTGAGGCCCTCTGCGGCTCTGCTCTCGCAAGGAGCTGGCCCTCTTGCCCCCGCCGAAACCAGCATCAGCTGGGTCTTGTCACCTGCCTTATCATGCTGAGCCCTTGACAGGCAAAGGCCCCGGCAGCACATGGGCCATGGCATCCACTGCTCACCACCTCAGCAGCCTGGACCAGAGTGAGCCACAGGTAGGCAGGCAGAAAGCAGGGGCAAAGAAGAGGAGGGGACTCCTAAGTGGGCCCCAGCAGGGGCCCTGTCACGTGCCCTGCACACGCAGACTCACTCCACTAACAATGTGGGGAACGATGAAAAACTCTTGGAGCAAGCGGAGGCCCAGCTCCTCTTGCCCTGTAAATTTATTGTGCTTCCTTTCTTTTATGCGAACAATGCAGAACTGCTTGAAAAATCCAGTGAGTATGGGTTGATCCAAATATTATCTAGGTCTTTGCTATAATTTTTACCATACTTTCAGCAAACTGTTGGCCAAAGAGGAGGGGAAGCTGCCTCTCCCTGGAATTTGCAAAAACAGGAATGCATTTTCCACAATGGTCCACAGCAGAAGCACCTCCTATTCCAGACTACAGGCATCTCTCAAAGCCCAGGTGCTAGCAAAGCAGTTGTAGTGAAACAAGGCTTCTTCCCCCCTTTGTGCACAACTAGAAGGAAGGAGATCTGGCAGACCTGGGCCAGAATTTACATTTTTTCCAGCTGGGGAGAGATGGGAGACCCCTGATCTTAAAAAAAAAAAGAAAAAAAGAAAGCTTCAGCGCTGGAAGAAAGCCATTTGCTTGATACAAAGCTTGGCCAAGGCTCCCACCTGCTGCTGCAAGGTCTGGATCTGGCGGGTGAGGTTGGCCTTCGTCGCCTCCTCCTCCTCCAGCTGTTCCAGCAGGGCCCCCTTTTCCTCCTCCAGCTGCCGGACTCGCGAGCTCAGATTCAGCTTCTGCCGTGTCTCTTCCTGGAGCAGCTCCTGGGATTCAAAGTTGCGGGTGGGAGGAGGTGGTTAGGAGAAAAGCAAAGCAAAAATCTCTCGCATTTGAGACCAGGCCTCTCTCCTGCCTGGGAGTAGAGGTCCTAGCTCCACCCCACTCCTCCCCTTTCTTCAGCAATCAGGTGCCCTCACTTTCCGCATACTCATCTTCATCCTACGTACAAGAGCACCAGCACGCAATGCTTTTTCTGCCAAATCACGGCTTTGTAGGTGATCTGTCAGTGGTGTGTTTGGGGGGGGAGGGGGGGGAGCCAAAGCCAACGCCGAATGACGGCAGGGCCACAAGTTGGTGAATCGACCCTTTAAGCAGTCTTGCAGCCCGCCCAGCCACCCCCCACCCCCCCGCACGCTCCTCTTCCCTTCCAAATCATGATCTGCTGGGGTAAATAATGAGGGCTGCAGGATGTTGGTTCCTGGCTGTATGCACTTCTATGGCCAGGGAATGCTCACCCCGTACCTGCCCTGGACAGCTCAGACAGGTGCCTGCTGCAGGGACGCCCACAAGCCAAGCCCCCAGTCACCCGTCAACTTGGCTTTCAATCCCCCATTATCATCGAAGGCAAAAGGCTGCCAAGGGATGGGGCAGGGCCTTCTTGCCAGTGGCCTCAGAAGTGCATGCTAACCAGTGGGACTCATCAGTGCCTGTCATCCTAGCATTCAGTGTTCCAAAGTAATTTGTCTTCAAAAGGAGGTTTCAAGGGTATTTTATGAGTACAGTAGACTCTCGACTATCTGGCTCACGACTATCTGGCCTCTGTACTATTCAGTCTAGTTAAAAAATAACTATCATTGAACTATAACTATCAGTAAAATAAGTTTAAATAATTTTTGTAAGAATTAAGCCTATGTTTTACATTAATGTTTTGTTTATTTTAAAAGTGCATGTATTCATACTGTACAGTGTACATGATTTTATGTTTCCTGCAATATAACATTTATCTTAAAATGTGTACAATATTTTTATCCTTGGACTTCCTTTTTCTGTAATACATTTTTAAAACGTACAGTACAGTACATAACAAACATTTATGAAGTACTGGCCTGTACTAAGAGATCAGAAAATATGAATAAGAGCGGGTTTTGGTATAAAAAGGGTATTTTTAATGGTATGGGTAGGGTAGGAAGTGAGCATTTATAGAACTCCGGCCTAACCAGCCTGCCCTTCCGCCACATTAGGCCAGATAGTTGGGAGTCTACTGTAGATAATTTTGGTGCTAGTAAGCTCAAATTTTATTAGTTTTTAATAATACATGGTGATTTAATTGGTAAACAGCTGAATATTCAGTGACTGGTGTGCTTTTTTCAGTGCGTGCAAAACACATTGTGCGTTACAGGCTAATCTTGTGTGTCCTCAATTGCATCCTCTGAAGTAAGGTCACCATTAATTCCCAAACGGAGCCAAAGGAGACATTTATTCATTTATTTACTTACTCAATTGGCCCGAGGGCCCTCTAAGCAGATCACAATCAATGATATATGACCTATTCAGCATCACTGTTATGGCTGGATAAGTTTGGATATCTATCACCACTTCACAGACCCACTGTTGTTCTTCCCCATCCTGTCTCTTCCTGAAACTCCCAGAGAATCCACAAAGTTTTGTCTCTCAGAGGGACAGAGGTAAATACAATATCCAGCTCTCTCCTAAAGTTTCAACTAGCTCTAGCTCACATTGTCATGTTCGCCACATACCTGAGTATCTTGCAGATGGGATTCTACACTGGCAAGATCTTTGGTAAGCTTTATTGTCTTGGATTCTGCACTTCCAAGGGTACCAGAGACCCCATCAAGCTCATTCTGTGCACAGAAGATGACAACAGACAGAAAATACCAAAGATGAGGTCAAAATGCACTGCGAGAAATCAAAATATCAACTTCTTCCGAGCTGAAAGCTAGGGACAGGGTGATGGCTGTTTATCCCATGCATTCATCACACAAGCAAAGACTCACTGGGGGCAGAATTCACTGACTGTAGCTCACCTTTCTTTTAAATAAAATATGGCCGCTTCTAGTTCTTAGGAATTCCCAGAAAGGTTTGAGAACCTCAAAGACAACAGCTGGCAAAGGACCAGGAACCAGACAAGCAATTGGCCCCGACTTCTGAAAGTTTGGGGTCAGGGCAGTTTCACTGACGAGCGGCCTTTGCAGTCTTGTCCCTTTTCTGTGAGCGACCCTCCACCTGTATCCCCACAAGCTAGTTTGCTCCTCTGTGGGATCTATATCCTAGCAGCTACTCAACATTTTCCAAATCTCAAAACCTCAATCTCTGCAGCAGAATAATAAAAAGCCACTTAATGAGTTTCTTGCATAATGAATTCTATACATAGAATTCTGTGGGTTGGTTGGTGCAAATTCAGCAAGGCACAGAGAACACTTGCACACATGAAAGAGCCTTAAAATAAAGGAAAACATTTCATGGGTGCAAGGACCTGAAGCATGAGGACTGGGGGTCAGTTCGAGGTACGGCTGCCTTCTGCAATCTCTCTCATGCACGCCCACCTACCTGCAGCTTTGCCAGCCGCTCCTTGAGTTCAGTCTTCACTCTCTCACTCTCTGCAGTCCGGAGCTGCAACTCCTGGACTACACTCTCCAGCTTCTTGCGCCGCTGCTCCGACTCCTGCTTGGCTCCCTGTAGGACCTTCAGCTCCTTCTGCATCTCTGCATTCTCCCCTTCCAGGGCTTGCTTGGTCTTCTCCAGGGTAACTTTGAGCTGGAGAGAATGCAGAGAGAGAAGTAAGAAACCAAAAGTGTCGACTCTCAGGCGCTCTCGTCTCTTCTCCGGCCACAATGCTAAGCACACTTACTAAGGAGCACAGATACAGAGTACAGAAGATCAAGGGAGCTTTAAATACAGACAAAGTCTCCTTCATTCAGAACCATCAGCTCTTCCTAACCTATCTCAACACTCAAATACTTGACAGTCCTGGCTCTTACAGTAGGAAAAGGGAACATGTGGCTTTCAGGAGGCTGCTGGTCTCCCATCAGCTGCAGCCACCATAGCCAGTGTTGAGGGAGGATGGAAACTACAGACCATCAACATATGGAGGGCCATACGTTCCCCATCCCTGGCTGTTTACTCCCTAGGGCAGTGGTGGCGAACCTATGGCTCCCTCTGACTGCATGCGAGCCAAATCGCCCCAGCATCGCCCCAGCAGCCGAGCATCAGGTAACAGCACACATAGGGGCCATGCGCACACTTGGAAAGGAGTAGTGGCACCAGGCGATGATGACACGAGCTGCGACTCATCTGAGCTTTCAAATGGCTGGTTGGTGCGCTGCCAAGGATATAAATATATATTTGCTTGGACTGGCTGTTTTCAGGTTTTATTGTAGTGTTGGCAGTCAGCGATAAATAAGTGGGTTTTGGGTTGCAGTTTGGGCACTCGGTCTCTAAAAGGTTCGCCACCACTGCCCTCGGGCTTTTGACTCATGCCTGTTCCCTCCCACAGCATCCCACTAGGGATGCTGAGCTGCCTTTGGCCGGAGGGCTGCCTTCTATTTGGAAAAAGCCCTCCACAGCTGCGTTCCACTGGTGGATGGAGAAAGAGCCAAAGGGGACCAGCCCAAACACCCAAACACCAGGACATTTTAGAGTTATTACTGCCAAGAAATTAGGAGAGGCATTTCAACTTTTATAAAGGGCAAATGATGAGTGGCTGGAGCTGGGGGGGGCATGAACACCTGGGGAACACCGGGGAGGGGGCACAACAGTCCAGGTTTGGGCCCTGGGACTGAGGTTCTGCATCCCTGCACATCACGTTCCCCCCCCACTGCATCCCAACCCCCCAGAAGCCTTCGCTGCCCAGCGACATACCCGGCGGGATTGCTCCAGCTCCCCCAGCAGCCCCTCCAGGGTGGCCGTGTGGCGCTGGCGCATCTCCAGCACCTGCGCTTCGTGTGTCTTGACCTCTTCTTCAATGGTCTTCTTGAGCTCTGTCACTTCCTGCTCCCGCTTCGACCTGCAACATGGCAAAGATGGGGCTAGCAAGGGACCGGGGGGGGGGTGTCTCGGGGGGCTTGCGCCTGCAGAGGCTCTGCCCAGGATGCCGTGACCTCCGCGGCAAGGCAGGCCAGGCTAGGCCTGCGTGCTTTACCGTAGCTCCTGCTGCGCAGCCGTCGAGTCCAGGGTGTCCTCCAGTTCGGTCTTCAGTGCCTCCAGCTCCTCGCCCAGGTCGCGCCGCTGCTTCTCGGCCTTGGCGCGGGCTGCCTTCTCCGACTCGATGTCCTCCTGCAGCGCATCCAGCTGCGCTTGCAGCTCATGCAAGGAGTTCAGCACCAGGGCCTTCTGCGTGGCTTCTTCCTCCACTCTGCAAGGCGGGCAGGAGAGGTCAGAGGGACGCAGGGACCCAGCCACGGGGAAAGGCGGGAAGCTAATGGCACACAGTACTCAAAAGGGGAGGGGGGGGCAGGAAAAACATCTTTGGAGGACGCCAGATGGGCACAGAGGGGAGGCCAGGATGCCTGAATCTGATCCAAGATCATATCTGCAACTACAGCCACCCCAACCTGGTGCCCTCCGGATATGTTGGACTACAACTTCCAGCAGCCCCCACCAGCCATGGATGGTGGTGGCTACTTTCTGTGGAACTCTGCGAGCTGTAGCTCGGGAACTCGGCAACTCGGCTTGGTTCAATGGCCCTAGTTTCCCAGGATTCCCTGGGAAGATGTCATAACAATCACACGAGTGTGAGGATGCCGGGGCAGCCGTCTCCCCGGGTTTCTGGGACTGGCCCATGCTAGAGTTCAGCTACTAAATAAATCCTCAGAGGAGCCTGTGCACCTCCAGCTCCGTTATTCCAAAGCAGCAGCATTCAACCTGCTGCCCTCCAGGTGTGTGGGCTGTAAATGCATCATCCCCAGTTAGTTCACAGTGATGGGATCTGGAGGGCACTAGGTCAGTGACTGGCCCAAAGTCACCCCGTGAGCTTCATGGCCAAGCTGAGACCAGACCCTGCCTCTCCTACGCCCCAGCTGAACACTCTAACCACAACCCCACTCCATTTTCTCTTGCTAGCCATGTGAATATGGTTGCACCCAGGTTAGGCCTTAACTTCAGCCCACAGCTTGTGTTCAGACTACAACTTCTGGAAAGGGCTGCTTTAATCTCTGATCCCTCTGTACAAGCACTTATCTGCGCTGGGAATGTCAAACATTAAAGCCCCGTTGCCAGATCAAGATGTTCTGCAGGCCTCTCACGGAGAGAGCCTCCCGCCCCCTGGGGCTCTCATGGCGTGAGAAGAGCTCCATGCACGCAGGCGGAGTCTGGCTCGGGTACCTGGCCAGTGCTGCCTGCAGCTTGGCTTCCTTTCTCGCCAGCGCTTGGCGGAGCTCCTCAATCTGCTGCTGTAACTCTGCTACCTGCTCCTGCAGGTCACCCGCCTCCCCGTCCAGCTTGCGCTTCATCTTCTCCAGCTCCTGGCGCCCCTTTTCTTCCTTCTTCAGCCGATCTGGAGGAGAGCAAGAAAGAAGCAAGTCAGGCTAGCGAACCGATCAGTACACCTGGTGAGACTTCCAGGCTGGGGTGGGGGGCAGGTGGATGCAGGGAGATTTCTTGTACTGGGTCAGACCATGTGCCCACCGAGACTCTGGTCTAATCCAGAAGTGCAGAACACTTTTCAGCCTGAGGGCCAAATTCCATTCTGGAGATGCCCTTGAGGGCTGCAGGCTGGAGCAGGAGCAAAACGGCAACGTATTTCAACTTAAAAGCTGCAACCACTTCAGGAGAGGAATTTCAAATTTTTAGAAGGGGGAAACAAACCGCACGAGAACGGAGGAACTGCCAAATGACCAGTAGAGAGTGAAAGGGAGGAGCCGGCTGGTGTGTGGCATGCAAGATCTCCATTTCCCAGCCCTCCTCTCAGCGTTCCCACCACCGGAGAGGCCAAGGGCAGAACCCGAGATCTCCTGCATGCTGTGCTGCTGCTCCACCACTGGGCAGTGGCCCCAACTCACGCTCCCTCCTGTGCCCCACACTGAAGCTTCGGCTGCCCGGGCTGGGAGATGGGAGGCTGCAGCAGCAAGCCTGCCCCACCCCGCAAAAGGCACCAGACCAGCCGGTGCTTCTTGCAACGGCGGGAGGAGGTTCCCAACCACCAGGGCAGAGCCCGGGCAGCCCGTCTCTCTGGCTCACCTTCCATGTCAGCCATGACCGCTTCGTATTTGTTGCGCAGTTTGGACAGACTCTTCACTTTCTCCTCCTCCTCAGCCATATGGGACGTGAACTCAGAGAGACGCTCCTCCATCAGCTTCCTCTCCTGGTGGGAGCAATAGCCAAAGGAGGAAGCAAGTGCAAAACAGAGCACAAAGAAGCGGCAGCAGCGGCAGGGGAGCAAGGCGAAACCTGGCTAGTGGCTCAGGCACCTGGCCTTTCCATCGGCCCCCTCCCTAATTCACAGAGGGCCAAACCACGGACCACACGTTGCCCTCGACTGCTCAGTGCGTGGCCTGCAGAGCTGTGGGTGTCCCAGCCGCTTTCCCTCGCTGACCAGGCTTCCGCTGGAGGCCCGGAAACACTGCGGGATCCTTGTTCCTGAGAGCATTGGCAAAACAGCCACATGCATCCTGTCTCCCGGGGTGAGGCAGCTTTGGTCCACTGCTAAGAACCCCACGGGCACCAGGACGCCCCTAGACACCTTGCTGGCTGCCCACAAGAAGTCCCTCCTCCTCCCTGCAATGTCTGTGCTTGAAATGTTTCTACCTTTTCTTACTGGCGCCTGGGATCACTTCAAAGCCAAGTGGGAGCTTCCGGCTGCTACCTTAATTTCCCATACTGCATCCAGCAGAGTTTCTCAAGCGTCCAAACTTGACCACAGGCCCAAAAGGTTGCCCTCCCCTGCCCTGGGGGCAGCCTCAGCTTCTCTCACTCTGCAGAGCTCTCCACGGGCTGAAGAGCGAAGGGCCCCGTTCCTCTCAGGGCCGGCCGGTCGGCACAAGTGGCAGGCTGTGATTCACCTTCCTTTTCCACCAGAACATCCAACCAGAGGACAGAAGATTTGCCCCTCAGAGAGGAAGGCCTGTCCTGTCAGCACACCTGAGAGCACACCGCCCATCCTCAAGCCCTCTTCCTCTTTGGAGCAAGCGGCGCAGCAGCGGGGCCTGGGGGCCATGGGGGTGGGGGTCCACACTCACCTTGTGCAGCTTTGAGTTTTGGTCTTCGAGCATCAGCAGGTCCTCTTCCATCTTCTTCAGCTTGGCCTCCATGCTCACTTTCTCCAGCTGCAGCTTCTGCCGGGCAGCCTCCTCCTCCTCCAGCTGCTCTTCAAGGTCCTGGAAAGGAGGGGAAAAAGGAGTGAGGGAGCAGGTCTGGAAAATGGGGTGCCTCGCTCTGCTCTATCCAGCCCCAGGATTCTCTCAAGCAAGCAGAACATTCTAAGCTTGGTATTCAGTCTGCCAGAGAGGTCGTCCAGTGCAGCAACTGCCTTCCCCAACCGGGTGCCCTCCAGATGCTTCAGGCATCAACCCACGTCAGTCCCAGCCAGCATGTCTGATGGTAAAAAAAAAGCCTGGAGTGAAGACCAAAACACCTTGAGGCGGGAGCAGAATTGCAGTGTCAGAACAGGGCTGAGGAGCCCAGGGTTCAAATTCCCACTCAGCCACCAGGCGCACTGGGCCAACTCTGGGCTGGCTGCAGCCTCCCAGCCTGGCTCTGCAGGGCTGTTGTGAAGACACAGCACAGGGACCCATGTATGTCACCCTAACAGCTCTGGGGCACGGGTGGGATAAAAGCATCATAAGGCAATTCGCTCAGCCGGACAAAGCACGGCTGAACAAGAGGCACCGTGGTGCCTGCTCAGAGGCAAACAGGCCCACATGTGGGCTCTCCCGGGATCGGTGCCCCAAAAGTGCGGTGCCACCACAGGAATTCTTCTGCACAGCGACTGATCTAGACACACCCCAGGGTGTGCAGCATGTGCGCGCACACACTAAAGTCTGCCCCAGAATGGTTTTGCATTAAAGTTGCAAAACTAAGCAAGACGCATGTGTGTGTGCATGCGCACGTGTGTGTATTCCCCCCCACACAAACACACACTCCCCCTCTCCCCATACAGATGGCCGTGTATGTGGACCCATTTAAGCTCCCTCCTGTCACAGGAATAAATGGCCTTGCCCCGGCTCCACACCTGGACGTGCTGCTGCATCTTCTTCTTGTCCCCCTGCATCTGCTGGCATCGCTCCTCCTCCTCCTCCACCCGTGACTCCAGCTCGTGCAGGATGTCCTCCAGCTCCTGCTTCCGGGAAGAGAGCCGTGCCCGCATCTCTTCCGCTTCGGCAAACAGCTCTGTTTCTGCCTGCAGCTGCTCAGCTAGGATGGCCTTCTCCTCCAAGAGCTGCCATGAAATGGGGAGGAAGCGTGAGTGGCTTGAGAACCCCAAAGCTCCTGGTTTCGGGCATCAGGAGGAAGGGGTGGCCCCATGTTGTACCCACAGAGATCTTGGCCAAGGGTCTCGCCCAGCCCTGCTTCCCAAGCTTTTTTTAAAAACTGGAGTTGTTAGGGACTGAGCACAGGGCTGTCTGCACACTGGATATGAAAGGAGAGTTTCATGATTACAGGGCAGAAAACACGGGGAACCGAACACAAAAGTCATATAAAGGGAGCTCAGGACAGACTGCATGTTGTGAGGGTGCGAAGAAGAGAAAGAGGAGCTGGTGTAAGCCAGGGTTGCACTGAGCAGTGGGGACTGGAAAGCTGCTACAGAATGCCAGGGAGAGACAGCCCAGTGAAATGTTTACAGGAGAAGCTGCTTCAAACAGAAGCAAATGAATGAAGGAGCTTAGCAGACTGATTCTGAATGGATGCAAGAAGACACAGGGGGCTGGAGGGGAGGCCAGGCAGGACCTCCAGAAGAAAAGTAGCAAAGGGGAGGGAAAGATTTCAGTGACGGGCAAAGAAGGGTGATGTACAGGACAGAAGTATGGCTCAGAGTACATGTGTCGACAGGAAGTTTTTCAGCTCCCAGCATGCCTGAGCGGGCTGGTGCTGGACAGCATGCCTCCTCAGGATTCACGTTCTCCCTCCATACCTGCTGGTATTTGTTTTCTAGTTCCTTGAGGTCCATTTGGGTTTTTGTGTGTTTCTCCTGCACCTTTTGTAGCTCTACTGCCTTTGCTTGCAGCACATCATCCTGGCGTGTCACCTGCAACAGGGGTTTCACCTGGCAAAGGAAAAGAGAAAGAAGGAGGCTGTTGAGGAAGCCCAAGCAGAAGCGCAGAGGTGCAGCTTGCTATATCGTGCCAAGCCTCTTTCACCTTCTTTTGGGCCATATTGCATGCCCAGAAGGGGCCAAGGAGAAAAAGGCAGGGCAGGGGGACAGGAAGCTGTGCCAAAACAGTGCACTGGATATTGGGGCCTGGAACAGACACACTACGTGCTTTACCCTGTAGCCAGGAGGACTGAGAACTCACTTCTATTTAAACAGCACACGACTGGCGCAAAGTGACACTCGGGTTCACTGGATAATCACCTGGGGCGTCAGAGCTGGAGGGCCGCACTCTCCAGTCTCTGCCATCAGGCAGGGGACTAAGGGGCCTGGGGAAATGGCTTCTGCCAGGAAGAACGTCACAGCAAGAGGAGACCCACCTGACTTCAGCCACCAGCCAGAGAAGCAGCAGCTGCTGGGAGCGTCCTTCCCTTCCAGAAGGGACATCCCCATTAACCTTGGCGTTAAGAGCCAGTGCTGGAGTTTGCTGCTTTCCTCCCCCCTCCCAACCCCCTTTCCTTTTGCAATGTGTCTTTTAGATTTAAACCTGACTACAGAAAGATTACTGATCCTTCTGCACTGCTCTGGAATGCTTTTTTGGCAGAAGAGCGGCATCGAAGAGATTTTGCTGAGGAATGGGTTAAAAAATGGCGCAGGCATGGGGCCCCCTGCCCTGGGATAATGCTTTACATCTACAGAGAAGAGAAGCCGGATCGATCACAAATGTGGCACTAAAACACAATCTGTTGACAGAGAAAGGAGTGGCGTTCCAGCAACATTACCCCAGGCGTAATTTACATAATCCTTCCACCCTGTCCTCGCCACCCTTTGCTCGCTGGGCGCCCAGCACAGGCGTCTGCGTCACCGTCCAGCCGCCCTGACCAACCTTGGTGAAGAGGCGCCACCACTGCCAGTGGCGCAACTTGAGGTAGGCCGCACAGTTGCGTTGCATGACCTTGAGGGCGCTCATCTGCTGCTGCTTCTTCATGAAAGCCCTGGAAGAGCAACGGGAGATGCCCCCACCACGCCCATCGTTAGCACCACAGAGAGGGCCATCGTTAGGCAACTCAGTGGGGTCGGAGACCACGAAGAAGAACAGTGGGACAGCAGCTGGCCACCGGCATCTAGGCTGCAGCCTTTGGAGAAGCGGCATCAAACAGGAAGGCTGATGGGAACGGGCCTGGCCAGCGGGCGGGTGAGAGCCACTGATGGGCCTGTTGACCCGATCTGGCCATCAGTTACTGGCTACTGGGAAAATGAAACTCCTTCCCTGTATGCCAAGGGCAGGGAACTGGTAGCCCTCTGCATGCTGTCGAATGCCAACTCCCATCGGCCAAAGCTGGCAGGCCAAGAACAAGGGAGGACAGGCATCAGGAAAATCTTGCAGAAGTGAATGTAGTTTGCAGTGGAAAACCCATCCATTTTTGAATTTGCAGTGTATTTTGCAAATAAGAAAAAGAACACACTTTGAGAGCGGGTGCACGCTTCAAAATGCACAAGGGAAAATACGCAACCAATATTCTTCTTTCTGTAGAAGATGGGAGGACCTGGTTTCTGTAACTCCTGAGGCCACCCCTCCAGCTGATTCTATGAGCTGCCCCCTTCTTCAGATCTTATATCCATGCATTTAGAACCATGATAGGCCAGTACTCACTTGCGGGCTAAATATCCCCGGGCAGCTGCCTGGAAAGACACAATAATGTCGGTGATCTTCAGGTCCCGTTCCTCCTCCAGGTGGGCCAAAACGCCAGCCCGGAAGAAGATCTTGCTCTGGCCAATGCGGAAGAGGTTGGGGTCCAGTTCCAAGGCCTTGATCTGAGGAAACAAGAGAGGGAAGGGAAGGGAAGGGAAGAGAAGAGGACAAAGAGCATTAATCACTAGTTCTCCTTGGTTCTCCGGGAGCCGGCTAGCTGCAGCCCACCGTGTCTCGGCTGGGCTGGGCTGGGCACACCTACCATGCGTTCACAGGCTTGCTTCCCATCCATGAACCCTTTCGGAATGGCATTTGGGGTCAGGATCTCATACCTATTAGATGATACAGATAAGCTTGGTGATTAGGACAAGCATTTGTGGTGTGCATGTGTACGTGTGCATGCACACACAACCACCCACCCGCACACGCGCGCTGGCCTCTGAGATGGAGAATGAATTGGCAGCCTCACGGAGAGCACCCAGCGCTAGGGAGGGGAGGCCAGCAGATCTGCCCCGAGACAGCTGGGAATACGGTTCTCCTGGGCCCACATCACCGCCCCTGCCAAGGCCAGCTCCCCTCCAGTTGGGTCAGCTGGGTACCTCTGCCGGAATTCCTGAAAGATGATGCGGTTGGGGAACCCCTGGCGGCAAATGCGAATTCCTTCCAGGACTCCATTGCAGCGTAGTTGGTCCAATACGAGGTGAGGCTCCAGTTTTCCAGCCTGTAAGAGGAGCCAGGAGAAGCTGGGCCTGTGACGGGACACTCTAGCAGGCAGAATCTGAAGAACTGGGGCTGGGGGTCGCCCAGTTGCCCACGGCCAGATGCTGGGCACATCCTCTCACCCATCTTTATCTTCCATCCTTCCTCCAAGGAACCCGGGCCCAATTCAAAGTGCTTCCACTAACATATGAAGCCATAAATGGCTTGGGACTGGGATATCTAAAGGAACGCGTGTCTCCAAAACCCTACCAGACCCCTCCGGTCATCAATGGAGGCCCTCCTTTGCGAAACCCCTCCCCCAAATGAGGTGAGGGGGGAATTGGAGAGGAAGAAGGCCTTCTCAGCCAGCGCACCTCACCTCTGGAGTTCTCTTTCAAGGGAGGTGCGACTGGCACCCAATTTATCTTGCTTTTGGTGCTGAGTTAAGACTTTTTTATTTCGTGTCTGTTTTTAGATTGGATTACTGGTATGTTGGTTTATTTCTTTCTTGTTTTATTGGCAGTTGTTATTGGTAATATTGTGTTTATTTTCCTTCTGTTCCTATTTATATAGTTGCATTTATACTGTATTTGAATTCCATTATGTTTATGGTTTGTTTGTTTCTGTTATTCATTTTCATTTGTATTTATAAATATACTACACCGTGAGCCTCCCAGAGAACCTCTAGCTATGGGGTGGCCTACCAATGCGATCGATAATTAGTAATCCAGGGTGGAATACATGCGGGCTTCATCCTCACCGCCCTGTGAGCAAGGTTAGCCCAAGTGCATGTGATGCGCCGGAGCAGTCCAAGAATTTCCTGGCTCTGTGGGATTTCTAGCCATGGTCTCCCCACACCAAGTCCAACTTTCTAGTCTCTCAGTCATCCCAGACCTGGCCCCTTCCAGGTGTGTTGTGCCAGACCTCACAACACCTCCAGTCGAAAGGACCGTGTCACTCCCTAAAGGCTTCACACTGCACCGTGAGACACTCTCTGTCTCACAGTCCCTCTTCGTTCCACCAAGCTGCCCAATAACTCATTTGGTCCCAAGGTCTCTCCCCACAGGGCTGAGTGACACCAAGGAGTGTCCCACCCCCACCCCGAGAACAGACCCCTTCCTCCCAGAAAACAGTGACCCCAGCAGTCCTTTCCACACTAAGGCAGGCTCAGGCCAAGAGGGGCCTCTCCCCTTTCGGGAGCAGAACATGCCTCTCTCTGACGATTTCGCACGACCTCTCGGAAGAGCTGACTCACCCTGCTTGCCTGAGCACTGAAGCTCCCTCACAGGCCCCGGAGCGAACAACTCACCCTCTTCTCATGGTTGGGTATGATGCAGCGCACAAAGTTGGGGTTGGTGTTGCGCAGGGTGGACATGAGTTTGGAGAGAGACTCCTTGTACAGCTGCCCCACGGTCCGGAACATCCCCTTCTTAGTCTTGTATGAGCCACCGAAGGCAAGGTCTCCCATTCCGCTCACTTGGTCCAGACCCACAATTCGGTCCACTAGGGAACAGGAGAAACCGACTCGCGTTCCTACAGGTACCTTGATGTCCACTGCAGCTGCAGTGGGTCTCTTCTTGTACTCTCTTCCCCACCATCCAAAACAACCACCCCACATCCCACTGAGCCCTCTCAAAGTATCCTGGAGCCCATCTATTTCTTAACCCATTATGTTATGTTTAAAAGTATAAGATGGAAGGGCCCAGGGAGTCCAGTCCTGGGAGACCTCCAAGCAAGATCCTTCACAGTTTCAGTCTGCACCTTATTTTTCCTGGGATTGCGAATTCTGCAAAGCCTGATTCTGCACAGGTTCTCAGTTTCTACCATTAGGGCTGGAAGGTCCACTGTGGTTCTGTAAAAGCCCCATTTCCCTTGCACAGAAGTTAGTATTTTTCTATGCATTTTCAAAACACGTGCATTTTCTGTATGCATGCATCCATGGACAGAAATGTGCTTCTGCACAAGTCGGAAAGGTCTGCGTTTTTCAAATGTGCATATGCTGGACACTTTTTAAAAGAGTGAAATGCAGCACAAACTCAGAAATATATGGGCTTCTAACAGGAAATTGCATTAGGTTTCATGAGGTGCTAATTGGATAATGTTGCCTTCAAGGAAAAGAGCCTGAGGGATTTCTCCTGAGCTACCCCTTACCTTTCTTAATGCACACAATTTAAGTTTAGGAGCAGAACCAGGTGAAAACAATGTTATTCAGATACTAGCAAACTGGTGTGTATTATCCAGCAGCATTTGATATTCTCATCTGCCTTGGAAAGCGGAAGCACCAGCGGTCTTTGGGCCAGCACTGATTCAGATGTTGCCAAGAGGGCGAGAGAGCCTTGGGCCAGGCAGCTGGGCACAAAGACGACAGAGGCGAGGGCAAAACAGAGCTCTTCTAATTTAATTCTAAGCTCCACATGGAATATTTAAACTGCATTACTAGCATACACTTATTGGGGAGTAAGCCCTGTTGACACAATGGAACTTATTGCTGAGCAAGCATGAACGAGATAGTGCAGCTAGTGAATCGAAATCATGTGTGCCCGGGCTCTGCAATTCACAAAGGATGGATGGGCGAACTTCTTTAAGTGGTGGCAGAGTGGCAGCAGGGCTCCTGGGGCCATCTGCCACCTCGCTCTCTGTTCCCTGCTAAGGTGAGTAGAGGGCAGTGGGTTTTCCAAGCAATAGAGAGCCCAGACCCTTCTGTTAGCATGTGCTAGTGGCATTTGATTGGGGGAGAAACGTACTTTCTGCTGGACTCTGAGGTGCCACGGCATAGCTGTCAAAGAAATAGACCTTCTGTATATTCTGGATCTCTGAAGACAGGACAGAACAGGACAGACATAGGCAGGTGGGGAGAGGGAGAGAGGCGGTGCCGCAAAGCCATCCATTATGGGGCAGAAGAAATGGGTCAAGGAGAGGAGAAAACAGAAACAGGAAATAGCAAAGTGGTTAGTTCCAGCAGCGACAGAGAGATTTCAAGCAACCCTGTGAAGTTATGTCTACAGGACTTTTGAGAACCTCAGGCCACCCCACTAACAAGCAACGGATATTATTAACACGGAGCGGCTCGGATTAAGGCTGGCTGTGGCTTTTCTCCCTCGACAAACTGCGCAGCCATCCTACCGTCTTTCCACAGTTCTGCCGTGAACCGGTCTGCGCTCTGGTGGAGAAGGGTAGCCACGTTGTCGTTCAAGGGGTCCATGTTTTTCATGAGCCACTCATCTGCTTTGTAGTCAACCTTGGAAAGGAAGGAAAAAGGAGGGCGGGAGTGGAGAGAGGGAGACAAATGCCAGGTCTGACGATCTGTGCTCTGCCTAGCCTGCAAGATGTGCTGGACGACCATTCCCATTACCCCCGTGCTGTCTCTGAGCAACTCCCATCTACTCTGACCAGCAATGGCTCTCTGGCCTTTCTTACCAGGGAACCTGGTGACCCAGCCCTCCATGGCTGAGTAGGAGACCTACGTAGACACACGCTTTCCTTAGCTGCTGAACATGTGACTCTCAACCTTGCTCCCGCTGTGGGACCCCAATTCCCATGAACATCAGCCATGCTGGCTGGGGATGATGTCAGCTAGAACCCGTAATCGTCTAAGGACTTGGGACTGGCTGCACTAGCACTTCCGGATTCTCCTGGCTGCTGGGAAATGGAGGAACCACCCGGCTGTCCCCCCTTAGCAGTCAGACACACGGGGGATCGTCAGAAAAGGGGTGGGGGAGCCTTTCAGCAGGCCTCGCTTACCCTGCCCGCATAATGGATGATGCAGAAGTCGGCTTTATCCCGCAGCTGCCGGGGCTTCTGGAACTTAGGGTGAGTCCCCTGCTCCTGAATGACCTTCTCCACAAAGCTCTTATCGGTGGCCTTGGGGAACCAGCATTCCTCGTCCAGCAGAGCCAGCACTCCTGGGGGGTTTGCCTGGGACAGAGACAAAGCTATTGGCAAGGATAACTGGGAGTGTGCAGGGCAGATGCTGAGACACTGCAGTGGGGAAGGACTGGCGGCAGGGAGGCTGTGGGGCTTTGCTTGGCTTTGGGAAGAGGGACTGGGGTTAGACAACACAAGCACCCACACCTGAGTGTTGGTTGTTGGTGAAAGATGGAAGATCATCAGCTGCACTAACAAGCTATAGCTTGCTAACGGTGATCAACCCATAAACAGAACTTACAGGTTGTTGTTGGGTTCTGAACTATAGGTTGTTTACCATCATTTGATATCTTAGCCAAGTCCAGGCAGCACAAGAACCCACTTTACAACAAAATCCACACAAAACCCTTGAATGCCAATTGTAAGAACTGTGTAAGACATTTTTTGTAATTTATCAGATTTATATCCTCGCAGTTTTCCTGCAAAAGCTCAAAGCAGCTTACATCATGCTCATCTTGCTGCACTCAATCTTATCCCCACAACAACCCTGAGAGGTAGGCTGGGCTGAGAATCTGTGACTGGCCCAAAGTCACTCAGCTGTCTCCATGGCCGGTGAGGGGACGAGAACCCAGAATGCCTGAGTCCCAGTCCTGCGCGCTTAACCACTAACAACAATGGCATATTAGGCAAAGGAAACAAGATTATCCTTGTACTGGTCAAAGCACAGGAGGTTCCTTTTCACCTGCCCCGATCAGCCTACACAAACCAGGCCCAGAAGATTAATGCAAACCAGCCAAGCCACAAGCTTCAGCACAAGCCAACACGGGAGACTCGATCTGCATGTTCCGTTGGAAGGAAGCTGTGCAGTCATGAGGCGGCACAGTGGGCAGAGGGAGGCATCCGGTGCAGGACGTCTGTCCGCTCCCAACATATGGGTAGTGCCATGGGATGGTCACACTGGCTAGCCCCATGGGCCTAGCAAACTTGCCAAAATGAGGCAGCAGAGCTTGTCCCATTCCAGAAGCAGTCATTTCAGCTAGCTTCCCACTTCGCTGGCTTCTCACTGTGCCAGCAGATACTTCCACTAACATAATGGAAGCATTACTGGCGGGGGGAGCATTTTCAAATGCTCCCCTGTAAAAGCAAAGCAAACAAATGAAAAATGCTATACATGGCAAATCTAGACAGCATACTAAAAAGCAGAGACATCACCCTGCCGACAAAAGTGCGTATAGTCAAGGCTATGGTTTTCCCAGTTGCAATGTGTGGCTGTGAAAGATGGACCATAAGGAAGGCTGAGCGCCAAAGGATTGAGGCCTTTGAATGGTGGTGCTGGAGGAGACTCCTGAGAGTCCCTTGGACTGCGAGGTGATCAAACCGGTCAGTGCTAGAGGAGATCAACCCTGGCTGCTCTTTAGAAGGCCAGATACTGAGGATGAAACTCAAATACTTTGGCCACCTAATGAGAAGGGAGGACTCCCTGGAGAAGAGCCTAATGCTGGGAACAATTGACAGCAAAAGAAGAAGGGGGCGGCAGAGGATAAGGTGGCTGCATGGAGTCACTGAAGCAGTTGGCGTGAGCTTAGGTGGACTCTGGGGGATGGTGGAGGACAGGAAGGCCTGGAGGAGTGTTGTCCATGGGGTTGCAATGGGTCGGACTCGACTTCGCGACTAACAACAAATACGTGAAGCACAAGTATATAAAGAAGAGAGATTATAGCAAGACTGCTCCTTGCTGTGCTGATTCCCTCTGTGCAAAAAGGGGTTATTTTAAAAAGAAACACAAATATAAGAAGAGAAATTTGATTCCTGCAGCCTGTAGTCTGAAGTGGTACTTTCCACTACACCATTTCATTCTACTTCATGAGCAGAACAAGGTAAGGTGTCAGAAATGGTGGCTTTCAAAGGCGCCAATTGTCAGCTTGCTGGCGTCTACCACCAATGCTCCCGCACCCAAAACAAAACTCAACTTCGCCAAGACCTGGAGAGAAACTGTCTTCCTTCCCACAGGCAGAGGCATTCCCTGGCCTTTCACCCAACCACTGCCGCTTCTGAGAAATTTCCCTCCTCCCACCCCAGGGCCGCTCACTGGTCTTTCGATGAGGTCGATGCAGGGCTGGAGGTCTAGGCCGAAGTCAATGAAGTTCCATTCGATGCCCTCTCGCTGGTACTCTTCCTGCTCCAGCACAAACATGGTGTGGTTGAAGAGCTGCTGGAGCTTCTCGTTGGTGTAGTTGATGCAGAGCTGCTCAAAGGAATTCAGCTGGAGACGGAAGGAAGAGAGGGAGGGAGGAACTCAGCTGGAGATTAACATCCGGCAGGAAGAGGGAGTCTCTTTACATACACCCTGTAATCTCTTCTCCCTTACGAACTGGCTCATGTGCCAAGATCAGCCAGACTACATGCCCTTTTCTCCCAAGCTGTTGCCCCGCAGATGTTTTGGACTTCACTTCCCACCAGCCCCAGCCAGCATGGTCAAGACGTGTTGCAGTCCAGCACATCTGGAAGGCACCAGGTTGGGAAGCACTGCTGTGTACCATGCTGCACAGGCCTTCTTTGTGGTGGCACCACGACCAGGCAGTATCTTCCCTGAAGCGGTGCCTTTAAGCACCCTTTGCTTACTGGAAAGCAGGAAAGACCCTGCATGTTGACTAATTATCATTGCTTGCTGCTGATTCATTACTATAGCACTATTGCTGCATACATGTATTTACTCAATTTTTAAAATAATTATTAGATCTTGCTCCTGCCCAAAACGCTCCCCAGTGCAAGGAAAGGGACAGGGAGGGTTCCTGCCCCTTTCCCATAATACTAGAATCCAGGTTATCCCATGCAGCTGAAGGCTAACAGGTTTGAGACAGATAAAAAGATAGATTTCGTCATGCAGTGCATTGATAAACCACAAAACTTGCTACCACAAGATGCAGTGGTGTCCGCTGATCTGGATGGCTTTATAAGGGGATGAGAAAATCCATCATAACTCCCAGCGATTGTGGCCAATGGGAACAAAGGGAGTGGCGGCCCAACACATCTGGAGAGCACCAGGTTGGGGAAGGCTGATTTACAGGCTCTGTGCAGTCAAAGGGACATGTCGGTGGGGAGAGCAGAAGAGACAGCCCTCTTCTGCTGAAAGAACAGCCACCTCACCTGAAAGATTTCAAAACCCGCAATGTCCAGGATGCCGATGAAAGATGCCCCCTGGCGCTTGGTACGGTCCAGGGCCCGGTTGATCCGATGCACCAGCCAGCGGAAAAGCCGCTCGTACGTGGCTTTGGCCAACGCTTCGATGGCAAAGTCAGCCTGGGAAGAAAAGGGGGGAGATTCAGCTTGACCCACCTCGCATCTTCCTCTTCCTTTTGGTTATTCCTTGCTCTCCGCCTCACTCCTGCAGCCCCAGACACCCTTCAGCCCTCATTACCAACCTGCTCTTTTGTCTGTGCCTTCTGCACATAGTCTCGGCCAACCTTGATGCGTGGGGTAAGGATGGCGCGTGTGAACTCGGTGACGTTCAGACTCAGTAAGTGGCAGAGCTTCTGAGCAGCTGCAAAAGACGTGGGACAGGCCAGCAAAAGTCTTTTGTTAGTCCATGCCTGAAAACTCATGCCTCACTTTGTTCTGGCAACCTGAGCTTCCCCTAGTCACCCACTTGTTAAAAGGAGTTTCTATGTTTCTTTATTATGATTACTCATGTTTATGCTTTGAATAGGCTGCTTTGCAGTCTTCTAGTGAAAACTCAAGCAAACAGGCAACTGTCCAATAAAACAGAATGGAAAGCTGTTTTGGAAATGTGCAAGGGATGCTCTCTCTGGATCACTTGGTATCAGGGCTGGGCAACCTGTGGGCCAAACCATCTAGAGGGCAAGTCCCATCAGCCCCAGCCACCAGTGGCAATGGTGAGTGATCATGGGAGTTGTAAGCCACGGCATCTGGAGGGTCACATGTTGTCCAGCAAAGATCTATGTATTCTGAAGCTGAGTCTTAACCCAGCAGGCAGACTGAGTTCCCAATTAGAGCTGGCAATCCCCAGATACCTGTGTTGTCGGGCATGGAAGCCTGGTCGGTGTTTCTCTCCTTGCGAAAGACGATGTTCCCGAACTGCAGCACAGCCGAAACCATCCGCAGCATACCTGGGTGGGAAGGGTGAGAGGTGTCTCTGTGGTCCCTCCTGGGAAGCTTGGGCGAAGCTGCGCTTTCATCCACACTCGTTGCACAAGTGGCAACAACATTCCAGGCCATTGGCCCACAGAGGCCGCACAGCAGGTTTAAGGCCGAACGGATGGACAGGCTTCAGCAGGTGTGCAACACACGGCCAGCAGCACAAGAGGTGGCCAGGATGCAAAGGGTTAGGGTTAGGGGGTTAGGCTGGGGGGCCACCCCTGAGGGCCGGGCCAGCCACTCCCTCACTGTGGCAAAGACCCCGGCTCTGGAGACCCACCGACCGGGCTCTCCAGAGGGGCTGCTGGAGGTGGTGGGGGCTGCTTAGGAGGGGCAAGGGGAAGGGGTGGGCACAGTTCGCCACTCCGCCCACGCTGCCACCTGATGCAGGCACCTCAGTTTACATCATGATAGGGCCAGCGCTGCACTGGATGGAAACTCCTTGTGAGCTTGGCAATTGCAGCACAATGTATGGGGGGGCTGGGGAAGGTTCCCCCTGGGGTACAGTCCTGCCCCTCCCTCCCACCCCCCATGAGCCAAGGTAACTGATCATTTCTCTGCACAGGGAGGGGGGACCTTTCCTGTTGCCCTGAGCTCGAGGGCTTTGCAAAACAGCGGAGCACCTGTTCGGCAAAGCTCTCTGAACCTCAGTGGACCGAGTAGGAAGCCCCCTGCCCCCCTCGCTGGTCCACTGCTGGAAAGGAGCACCACTTGCAAAGCCTGGTGGTTCCATGCAAGCCACGGAAGGGAGAGGAAGCCACTGTGTGGATGGAGTGCTTGTCCGTTTTGCAAAGGAAACCGGGAAAGGAGTAACCCTTCCTACATCCTCTTCTCAAAGAGTCCAATCAATCAATCAATCAATCACTCTCACAAACACACACAATCCCCCTTGTTGCTTCCTCACAGTGGACAGACAGAGGTAAAGCACAATATTAACGGCAACAGGGTGCCGTTGCCCTCATCCTGCTTAAAGCTTAAAGAGGAAGAAGGGCTGACTCAGCGATGCTCACGAGATCCTCCCATGGAAGCAGCCCCAGGGGCCACCAGGCTTCCACACGGCTTAAAAACCGCTGATGAAGACAGCCTTTCTCCCGCTTGGGGCCCTCCAGGAGTGTTGGACTGGAACACCCGTCACCCCTAGCCAAGCCGGCTGAGGAGGAGGAGAGCTGCAATCTGGAGGGGACCAAGTTGCAGGTTGGCTATATTAGAAGGGCAGGACTACTGGTGACCACTGGCCATAAAGTAGAAAACAGCCGTGCTTATGACCAAAGACAGCCCCCTCTTAGCCTGCCGGATGCTGCGGACTGGCACCAGGGCCTGGCTCCTTCTGGCTTCCCTCGTTCCCATAGGAGTGACTGATATCAACTGTCTGTGGGGGAGGAGGAGTGAGGAGCACAGGATCAGGGTTTCTCCAGCTGGACTGCCCCCACGTGGAAGTGAGAGGTGGAGCAGGGCCGTCCCGCTTTTCCTTTTCCTTCCCCACCCCCCTCGTCTGTTGTGGGGTTTTAGACTGAAATCCCTGCAGGGCAGCCTTTCTTGGATTGACTGCAAACTGTTTCATGTTGCAGTCTTTTTTGGATTGACTGCAACCATTCTGTGGGCGGTGAAGAGTAGCGTAACAATACCTTAGATACCAACTCTACTCTTCTATGATTCCAAGTAAAATGAGACTAACAGGGGAGGGGAGCCTCTCTCCTGCCCCCTCCGGCTTAAAAACGCAGTCAACAAGGAGCAATGAGCTCGGTAGGTCAGAGATGTTCCCCGGTGCCCCATCTAACAAAAGTGTCGGACGACTCACAGTGTATCTCCTCATGCGAAAAGCCCATGATGCGCATCGACTCCATGGTCTCGTGGAAGATCTCCTTGTCCTGCTGCCCCGGGATGGGCAGGTACCCGTTGGAGAGGAAGCGGTACTGATTGAAGGGCTCCAGAAGCAGCTCCCCTGCAAAGCCACGGGAGAAAACGCCACTGAGGCCAGGGCTGCACTGCTGCAGACCAAGCCTGGACCGGCACCCGTGGAGTCCCTGCAGGCGAGCGCACTTCATCACACTGCGCTTTCCCACAGCTCATCGTCACAGCCTTTACGTGCTGAAGCCAACTGACCAGAGGGCTGTCATTTCTCTCCCCCTCTTCCTTCCCGGTTTCTTTCTCAGCTCTTAAGAGCACAAAGACCCAGACTTTAGGAAACCCAGGCCTAATTGTGGGAAGGATGAGAGATTCCCCTTGCATCACCGAAAAGACTGTTTTACCTTTCATGTGCTCACCAGCACCCACTAAGAGCTGGTAGAAGATGTGGAAGGTCCGTTCGTCTTTGGCTTGGCGGATGGCTCTTGATTTCTCCAGCAGGTCTGGAGTGCTTGGGGTTAAGGAGGAGGGAGGAACCAAATAAAGCTGGACACATGATTTTCCTTCCACAAACACAGCTTGACCCTCTGCCTTCCCTAAGAGGCAACTGTCCCAACTTTCATGCCCCTTTGCTCCCTCCAAGCCATCGGGAAGCCCTGCAGTGAGGACCCCCAATTAGAAACACACACACTCCTGTGCCCACGATCTCATACCTACTTCCTCTAACTCACCAGGAGTCCCTACAAGCAGGACCCCTCCCCATTTACTAACGCTCCAGGGATTCCCATAGGCACAATCCCAGATTTGTTCTATCTCAGATGCTACTCTCTGCCCAGACACCCCGAGAGCCCTAGTTCCCAATCTTCCCTTGCACCAACTCACAGAATTTGACTCTCCCATATTGTTTATGAATCACCCGGACAGTTTTTGCAAACTTCTCAGAGAGTTTTAGCTTGACATAAACAGGATACATGTTTCTATATTGGCTCCAACAATGTAGCCAGCCACATCAAAATTAATCCGAATGAATTTACCCTAAGGAAACACAAGATATTGGGGGGGGGGGGAATAGAAAGGCAGGATAAAGATCAGAAGAACCAAGTGGCTCATGAGGAAATATTTCATGTATATAGAGAGATTTCTGACAAATACATACACACACATTTATTTATGATCCACAGCAGAATGTTTTCTATACCCTTGAAAGCTAAAAACACACAGAGACACTTCAATATTTGTTTTATTTTGGGCTTTTTCTTTTTGCTTTAAAGCCTGCCAAGCTACAAAGCATAAAAAAAGACTTTCCTTGCCAGGCCAACCAGAGATGGGGCTAGAACTGGTCTACCTTTAAGTTGAGCAGCAAACCAAAAAGACCAGTAGAAACTGATACTGAGCAGGGAGGCTTCAAAATGGAGTTCTATTATCAACAAAGGGAAGAGAAACGCTTTATTTCTCCTCCTCCAAAGAGGGCCTAAAAACAAACATTTCTTAACAAAAACAACAAGCCTCCTCCTCTGTTGCAGTAAAGGACACACACTGCTTCCGCGTGCAATTTAAATCAACTCCCCCTCCCCCGGAGCTCAATGTCTTTAACAGGCTGCTCATCAACATGGATTCTTGTCTGTTCCAAACATTTCCCAAGCCGGTTGCGCTTCCCCCACTACACCAACTTACAAATCTGGAGGAGTTGTCATTTTTGACCGTTTTTGCGTTGCCAAAGGCCTCCAAGATAGGATTGGCTTGTAGCAGCTGACGCTCCAATTCACCCTAGAGGGAAATCAAGGGAGGGAGGAGAAAGAGTTACGAAATCCCCGGGGCAGCAAGTCAGAGCATCGCCAAAGCGGCAGCACAGGTGGCTCTCTGGCCCCAGCAAGACTCAGAAGTTCCAGTTCCAGGAGGTGGAACCTGCTCTGCCCGGTGGAAGAACGCTGGGTGCCTCTGCAGTCGCCTTGCAGGGGGCGCTCTTGTCCACGTGGAGGCAATTCTCCCCCCCACCCACCCCCAAACTGCAATAGAAAACTACTCACGTAGGAAGCGGGGTTGGAAGTCTTATGGAGGGCGGGATGGGGATGACGTCACAAAACACAACGTGAGGGTGTGGAGGGAGAGCAGCGAACGGGGCGGGGACACAAGACACAGACAAAACAAAACAAAACAAAACAAAACAAACAAAAAATACCGAAGGGTTAAAATCAGGCTGCAAACGCAACGACAGAACTGAACAACAATGAGGCCGTAGCGATATGAGCGGAGAGGGGGAGGAAGAGGAGGCACGGGCTCCCTTTCCCAGCCCCCACCCGCTTGAAGCTCGTTCCTCCCTCGGGGACCCAGCGGCCCGGCTCATCGCGAGGAGGAAGAGGAGCCTTTTCGGCGGCAAGCACGCACGTTCCAAACCCAGCGACAAGGAAGCGGTGAAGCCAGAAGCCCCCCCCCCCCGACACACACACACACACACACACGCGCGCGCGCGCGCAAGTTAGGCAGGCTCGGGCGCGGCTGCAAATCAGTGCCAGGCAATCGGAGCTGGGGATGGACGGAGGGCGGAAGCGGCCGGTGCTTCGGCGGCATGCACTGCGCTCTCTTGCCTGTTTGGCTTCGTGCTGGTACTCCGGCTGGGGCAGCAAACCAACGGAGGGAAGGTTAATACTGGCTCCCCCCCTTGACAGTCCACAAAAATACACACACGTACACAGAACTGCCACAAGGGACGCGAAGAACAGCAGCGCAGTGCGGCAGAGAAAGAGCCTACAGCGCACAAACTTTGCACGCCAAGGCCAAGGGGGCCCCTGGGGGAGCTGAGGCGGGTGTCTGCCTGTGGGGGGCCAGACAGACCCGCAGCCCATGGCTGGAAGGGTGCTGGGCACTGCTGCACTCTTCACTGTTCGGGGGCCGAGGCCCCAGGACACAAATTGTGCATGTCCATTTAAATTGTTAGAAGGAAATTTAGAAGTGATGCCTTGAATTTATTCACATGTCTCATGAGGCAAAACCAGTCAATTAATTTCATGCCACGATCACCCCAATTAAAATGAGTTCTTCATTTAATCTGCCCTTTTCCCAGATCATCCCAAAGCAATGGAGAAGGGTATGTTCCTCAGCTTAAGTGCCATACAGAGGAAGATTCCTGCGGGGCGCATGGGAAGAGGCGTTTCGCAGTGAATGGGGAGGAGAGAGTTAGCCCTTCCCTGCTCAGCTGCAAGACACCCCCACTTCGTGGAAGTGCACAAGGAGAGCAGCTGAGCTGAGAACATGTCCTTCCGCTGGCCTCAGTGGCCAGCCAGGGCTCTGTGGAACAGATCAGGGCCCCGGGAGCGATTCTGAGGAGGGGAAGAGGCCAAGCCGCACCCTTGTGCGCTGCCGCCAACAGAGGTTCCCTATTCCTTTTCTCATCCAGACCAAGGGCAGCGCCTGCCCACGTTGGCCTCTGTAGCTCTGCAAGGGGCCCTGTACAGTGTGATTAATATAAATGACAATAAGAGCTAATAACAATTAAAACTCATAATCATCAGAACAGCATACAATGCATTGAACTAATAATGATAATGATAATTAAAAGCACAAGACTTTGCTCATCATAGCAGCCCATTAAAAGTGCATTGCCATTGGGCCTCCAAAATCCTGCTACCTGTACAGGTAAGCTTGGAGGTTCCCTTGTTTCCTCTTTGAAGGGCCAGGCCAAGGCGCATCTAGTCCCAGGCCTTTCTCTACGGCTGCCTTGCCAATCAGCGGCCCACAGACCAGCCATGAAGGCAACAGCCCCCCAGCTACTGCAGCCCCAGAGGGACATGCCCTCTGAACTGGAAGCTCTATTTTGCAGCCATGGCTGATGGACAGCAGTTAAAACCTCTCCTCCTCCGGCTCCCCAGAACTGGCCTGAGTGAAGAACGGTCCTTTTTCGCCTCTCCTGGATGATGGCCTATCATCTCCGCTCCCTGCTCCCGTGTCCACTTTTGCCACACGGCCAACTCAGCCCAAGGCTGATGGAAATCAGGACAGGGAGCCTCGGCACAGGCTGTGCTCTAGATCGGCCTCCTGCAACCAGCGCCCTCCAGGAGGTTTGGGCTGCAGGTGTGGGACTGCCGTTGCTGGATGGGGGTGCTGCAATCCAACACACCCGGAGGGCACCTGGACGGAGCAGACGGCTCTTGAAGCCTGAAGCCAAAAGGACATGTCTCCCTGCACACGGCTGATAACAGCCCTGTCATGACTGGGTGGCTGGGGAAGCCCTTCCTGAGATGCAAGTCTCCTGGAAGCACACGCGGGAAAAGATACAGGCAGCTCCCCTGCCCAAGTGTGTAGGCTGCCCCTGTACCGAATTCTCAGCTGTCATTTTAAAAAGGGATGTGAGCTTCTGGCCCCTTTACTTGTTGCAGGAAGGGCCATAGGTTAGATCAGCTGGGGAAGCTGGGAGTTGTAGTTCAAGGCATCTGGAGAGTTCCAGGTTGGGCAGGATTCAAGTAGATTGTAACTCTGAGGGAAAGGACTCTCTTGAAGCTGTTCTGGGAACCTTTTGGCTGAACAGCAGGGCAAAAAATGTTCTAGATAAATAATAATAAATATGAAGTTGCTCCTACCTTCCAGGGTATTGGCCAAATAGTGCAGCGATACTGAGATAATGGATAAGCACCAGGCTCTTATTTAGATAATGCAATATTTTAATTTTATTAGTTCTGGGTAAAATTGATGCATGATGCCCTGCCTCCTCAGCACTTTTCTGGCCACCTGCCTGACCCTGTTTGTGCAACGAGCTTCTGCCTGGTTATGCACTGGGATCTGCCCATATCACTTCATGCAATTGAGTTTCTATTACACTAACTTAATTTTTAAAAATAGTATTTCCTGAGACAGAAGATAGAAGGGCGCTTACATAGCAAGAGAAGCATTGAGTGGCATCTCTGTTGACTTTGTACCTGAGAGCTCATTGGGGGAGGACCAGGAAAGCCTGTTGGCTCTGGAAAACGGAACTGCAGCTGCTCTGAACTATAATCCGATGCAGGCGACTTAGAAGTAGACTCGACCCCATCCTTCCTTACTTAGATATAAGTCAGATTCTGTTTCCCTGGATGTACTACCCAGCAGATTGGAATAAAACAGCACCTTCCACTGGCAAGTCACACTTCCCAATCTGCTGGCTATAGCAAACAGTTCCAGACCCTCCCTTAAGTGTCTGTGCAGATGTGCACAAGGGAAGGCAGTGACCCTCCCTCATTCCAGCCGACATCCTTCTGGCACAACCTGCCGCAACCTCCAGATGTGTTGGATGACAAGCCCTGACCACCGGCCACACTGGGTGAAGCTGACAGAGGTTGATGCCTGCAACACCTGAAAGATGCCAGGAGGTCGAAAGCCGCACTGGCAGGACAGAGCTCCTTCTGGAACGGGCAGACATGGTCCTGCTCCTGCCTCACTCCAGCAAGAGGCAGGAGCACTCAGGCAGGACTGGCCCTGCCTCTGGAGCTCTGTGGGGACCTCAGCACAGAGGCCTCACGACTGGGAAGGAGGCAGACAGAGAGGACGCAGGACCCAAAGGCACACAGCAAGGTGGGGGAAACCGACCGACCACGTGCACAACCAGGAAGGGACACGCAGGGAATTGCTTCCTTTGACTGAAAAGGAAGAAAGCTACTGCTCGTTCTCACCTGGACGCCACCTGCATGTTGCTTGCTATCCAAATTCCAAACAGGCACCGACTAGGTGTGGTTAGTGACACAGGAGCAAAAGGCACTCTCCACATGCCCGAAAGGCACTTCACGTTATCAGTACTTTTCGTATGCCAGGGCAAAACTGGGCATGGCTTCCAGCAGGCCCTGACTCAAAGGTGAGCAGCGGGCATGATGAGTCGCAAGGGCATTACCTTCCCAGTGCCGGGGGACAGCAGAGAGAGAGGGAGAGAGGACTGGCTCCACTCCAGGAACACAAACGCTGGGATTGACGGTCTGCTTACAAGGAAGGGCATTTTTTAGATGCTGGTGACGAAGGGGGCAGCAGCGAGTTGTTTGCTGCAGGGGAGTTGTGACAGGGGCGAAAGGGACAGAAGCCACGGGCCGGAGATCACTTACCGGGACATTGTGGTCCTTCCGAGCTTTGTGAGATGAAGCCACATGCGCCAAATACTGGATCACTTTCTTCGTGTTCTCTGTCTTACCAGCGCCTGACTCACCCCTGCCAAGAAGACCAGACACTGAGGATGAGAAAAAGGGGTCACTGGGTCCTGGATGGCTCTTGCGCCTTCCCTCAACCACCACCTGCTTCCCAGGGCTCCTCAGAGGGGGAACTCTGGACAGCCCTGCCTTCCTCCTTTGGGGGTCTACATCTCTTGCCGACTGAGCCAGTGAAGCATAACAGCAAAGAGAAGGAGCCACGAATTGGGCCATCTGTGGTTCAAATTCCCATGCAGGCATGAACTCATTAGTGATAATACTAGTATAGAATTGATTAAAAAAATACCATAGTGAGTACTGTGGTATGGTGATTGGACTTGATACACAGAGACCCGGACCAAAACTCTGCTAAGCCACAAGGTTTACTGCAGGGGCTAGTCACAGTCACTAAGTCTAGCTTAGCCTACATTACAGGGTTGTTGTGAGGATAACAGGAGGGGGAACTATGCATGCCTTCTTTGGGGGAACAGTAGGATAAAAATAAATTTCCATTTTACAAGTCTGTTTGAAAGGACTGCTGAGATTATATGTTCTTTCATCACTCAAAAGCAACATCTCCCAACCTGGCTTCCAGTTGATAGTTTACAACTCCCATCATCCCCAGTCAATGCTGAGTAGGGCTAATGGGGTTATGAGGGACACCTGTTTGGGGAAGCCTGCTCTTATTTAAATTCCTCTTACGATAGGCACAAACCTCACATTTCTAACCATAGATCAGCCACTGTTACTGGGGATGTGGGGAGGAAAGGAGAAAGTCCCTCCTTCTCAGACCATCATCTGAATGAAACAGGAGGATCAGGTGAACAAAGCAGAAGCTTGGGATGGAGGTTCAAAAGGTCTTGGGAACATGTGTGCAGAACGGTTCTCAAGAGAACCAACACTGTGGAGATGTTTTGTAAGCCGTCCTGAGGCAGCATAGAAATAAATAATTGGCAGAACTGCAGAGGCCTCCAGGTCCTGCTGCAATGGGCGAGCACGGAACGCAATGCTCCTACCCGCTGGGCAACGCTTCCCTGCCTGCAAGGATTGCTAGAACCTTGGACGGAGCGGCACGCACAGCAACAGGCATGGAACAACCTTTGGCCCATCCGCACACCTGATACTACCGATAGCCCTGCTTCCACAGGTAAACCACCCCAGCCATGGCGACACTCACGTGCACAAGATAGACTGATCCTCTCGGTCTGGAGTGGGGGTGGGGGAGAGAAAGAGAAAACGTTCAGACACGGGGAGTTGCTACGTCCGGACACAGGACCACTTTCCTCCACCAGAGGGCACTGGCGCCACACTTTCGCCCGCCCACCGCCCGCAACTTCACCAACCACCTCTCGGACACATACCAGACTGCGCGCACACGCCGAAGCCATGCGCTTCTGCTCCCACCCAATCCAGTTTGGAGCGGGGAATCGCTGGAATGGCTCCACCCCTCCCGCTTGCTTCCCACAACATACAGCAGCCTCCCCCAACCTGGCGCCCTCCGGAGGAGTTAGGACTACAGCTCCCGTCACCGCCCAAGCAGCCTGAAGGACGCCCATGCTGGTGGGGGCAACAGGAGCTGCCCCCTGGGGGAAGGCGGGCCGTCACGCGGCCAGCCAAGGCGCGGCTCTTCCCGGCCCCCTCAAGCGCGAGCTCGCCCCGGCTCCCGGTCCGTACCCTGCAGCATGCTTCGGTAGGCAGCCTCGGAGATGGCATAGATGTGGGGGGGCATTTCGTGGCGTTTCTTGCCCCGGTACATCTCCACGATCTGCTCCGTATAGATGGGCAAATTTTTGTAAGGGTTGATGACTACGCAGAAAAGCCCTGAATATGTCTGTGTTGTGGGAGAAGGAAGAGAAAGAGGCCAGTCAGAATGATTCCCCCATCCCCATCGCGATACACGCACACACCACAAGGCTTGCACACAAGCACTCTCGGTCTGCATCTTTTCTTCCAAAAACAACATTTCAAAATGTGCAAATTACTTTTTGCTTCAGGCTAGAGAAGGGGGAGAGTCGGGTCACTTCCATTGACTTCAATGTGCCAATCGTGCCTGGCAATCAGAGAGGCACTTGTACCTTATGTGCAGCACCCAGCAGCTGCTTTACTGGGGGCGGGCACTGATGTGGAGGAAGGAGGCAGCTCCAGTTCTGTGTCTGACATGGAAATGCCATTTTCTCGGCCCTATTTCATGACACAGAAAGACGGAGGCCAGAAAATGGTGTCCCTTCTAGATCTGATGCCTAAAGTGACCCCCCTGTGTGGCCTCACATGGTAAGGCCACCCCTAACATCACCCTAAACTTCCGGCAAAAAATGGAAAGCTGCCGTTTGGCCTGATTCTCTGTGCTGGATGAAAGGGTTAGTCTAGGCTAATGCCCAGAGGACCATCCAATAAGCTGGCGTAAGAAAGCAAACCGATTGTTCACAAATGATTCAGTGAGGCCCAACAGTGATAAACATTCCATGCTACAGTGACTCTGATAACCCAGGCTAAGCCTGGCCAGAATGCTAGTTGCCCAAGTCAGCCTCAAAGTCCAGCTTCCAGCACACCAAAGCTACCCCGTTTTCAGGTTGGTTGTCAGCAGTGTGCCGAGGACAGGATTCTGCCCAATTCATAGTGCAATCGCATGGCTCTCTTTCCATCAGGGATGTGACTGGAAGCTGTACAGGCAGACCGAAAGCATCAGCTACTACAATGCGTTGAAACGTTTGTTTTTTAAAAAATGACCCTGAGAGCAAAACATGAAGCAATAGGTTAGAATTACAGGTCAGCAGATGTGGGTTAAGCACTATGGAAAATACCAGACAAGTCTCAGTAGAAGGCACCTTCTGGGAAGGCTGTGGAATTAATTCTGTTCTGTGTGGTGCCTGGTTTTGTTTAAAAAGCTGGGGTGCTTCACAGACAAGTGACTTGGCCTCAAAACAGAAAACATGACCAGGTGATCCACTTCTGAAATTCAGTGCGTGAACGTGAGTGTGTGTGTCTCTGATTTGCCCTCGGGAGAATTCATTTCACACCCCATGGTCGGCTCCTGTTCTGGCTAGACAGGTCTAGTCTGCTCCCCGCCCCGATACCCAGCTGCAGGGGTGGGGATCGGAGGAGGAAGGGTGCTGGGCCATCCGCAAGTCAGCGATGACGTGCAGCTGAGAGAATGCTTGGCACGATGCCTCTCAGGGCAGCCTTTTGTGCCCGCCTGGGTGCCACGGAAACCAAAACTGACAATGCCAGCAGGACAGAAAGGCAGGGATGTGTCCCCCTCCTCCTCGTTCCTTTTGTAGCTAGCTACAACTATGGGGTTGGAGAAAACGCAACTCCCCTTTTCTGGCGTCATCACACACATGCCTGGCTGAGCCACAGGCATGGAACAAAAGCACAACTTTGTGCCCTGAAACCTGCTCTTCCCCTTCTCTGGCATCAATGCCCACCAAGAAAGAACAGTTTGGTATCTGAATCAAAGGGAGCAAAACATTCTAATGGCCCAATGCTCAAATTCCTAAAGCCATTTTTCTGCAGAGGGCATCTCATTTCTAGTTTTGCTTAGACAGCACTTACAGTCCAAAGTCTGAAAGTTACCAATGTTCCATTCTGACTTCTAGCGCAAAACACACAGGGCATTCGCTATGGAAATGCCAAGGCACACACAGGCATCCACAGAGAAGCGTGTGCTGGGACATTTGGACTGGCTGACTGAAGAGTAATTTTGGTGGACAAGCGAAATGGTCCCTGCAGCCAGAACTCCTGGTTCTACTGGGAAGAAAGTGCAATCCTAGGGCTCCAAGACAGGCAACCCCAACAGCCACGGCTCAGGGTAGGGAACCGCATTTGTCAACCACAGCATGGGTTGCTAGGAGACAGGGCCTTGGTCTCCCAGGAGCCAAGGAGGAATCTTGTGGGATGCCTTGTGGGGTGGGAAGGCAGCATCTAGGTGCCCCGAAAAGATGGCTTTGAGGAGAAAGGGGGCAGCATGGAGGGCCCAGGACAGCCAACTCACATAAATGAGGCCCGAGTAGTAGCGGTCCTTGAGGTTGTGCAGCACCGAAGCTTCATTGAGGCAGGTCAGTTCTGCCATGTCCTCCACCTTGGTGAATTTGGGAGGGTTCATCTTCTGGATGTTGTCCTTGGCGACCAGCACCTGACGCCCATTCTCAGCAAGTTCCACCAACACCTCGTCACCCCGCTCCTCACGCAGTCCAGCCGCCTCAAAGCCATGGCGCTCGGAGGGGACCCACACCAGCCGCTTGGCTGTCCAGTCGGCCTGTGATGCTGGGTTGCCCACTTGGTTCCGGTCCACAAAGAGGTATCTCTCAGCGCTGGCGTCACCCCGCGGTGCAGGGGCCCGGACAGCCATGGCTGGGAAAGACAAGAAAACCAGGGCATGTTCGCATTATATTCCTGTCTTGGGACTCAGCCCCCAACCAACCTCCCAATCCCAGGCCCTCCACATGCAGTACATCCCAGCAAGCATATCTCTGCTCCTACATGGGGGGGGGGGGGGGCTTTTTGTCCTCTATGACTGCAACAGCAGTGGGGAACCTCTTCCAGCTAGAGGGCTGAATTCAAGTTCAGAAAAGCTCTCATAGGTGCATTCCAGTGGTCGGTGGGGTTAAAGGGGAAAAAGGCAGGACCAAAACCAGCCGTATTTGGTGGTGCAGAGCCCTTAGCTTGTAGTTAAGTCATAGGATATAGCATTTTCAACCTTTCAGAACAGAAAATAAATAGTGCAGAACCCAAGAACCACCAAATGATTGGTGGCTGTGGAAAATGGGATGGGGCTGTGGAAAGAGGAGGGACCAGAAGAGGCATGTCTGTCTGGATGGAACAGAACTGATACCCCGGGGGAGGTCAGAGGTAGTCTCAGTCCTGAGGTCCCTGCCCCTGTGCTAGAAGGTTCCCTTTGCTTCCTACTTATTCTCTTCCCACCAACTCCAAATCAGTGATGTACATGTGGGACATTTCCCCATTTCCTGTAAAGAAATACACATTATTTCAAGGAGTGGTGTGCATGCAGAATGGAAATATTTACTTGCCTATCAAAATACAAAACGACTCAATCCTTTGGACTGAGAAGCTTCTTAGACAAACATGGTCATGAGAATAGAAAGAAAACCTCATGTTGACAGAGCAATCACTGGGAAATCAAATCTCAGTAAAGCTGGAATCCACTGGCTGAAACTAAGGGTGTCTGGGGTTAAGATGGGGTCCTCAGGCTGAAGATGGGGGGTTTTGTAGGGTGACAGGAAGGACAGCAGCTGGTTTGGGGGGTGCCTAGCTTATAACAGCAGAAATATTTCTATGCTTATTCAGATATTTCGGAATTATTTTTTTACCTTCCCCACTTTCGGTTATTTTTTTCCTTACATTGGGAGAGCAAAATAAAAGGAAGACTGCACTCTCACCATTACTAATTCTTAAATAGACACATCCCTCCCTTTACTTTACAAACAAGGGCAGCAAAACCAGAATTCTTGATAGAAAACTGGGCATAATCCTATGTACATCTGAACAGAAAAAAGCCCTACAATTCCCAATACTGCCCAGCTTGCCGAGGCTTTATTCTGTTTAAAGATACACAGGATTCCGGACTTATTCATTTCACTTGGATGGAAACTTACTGCAGAAAACAGTTGTCTAGGATGTCGTGTGTGCACACACTGTTGTAGTGTCTAAGGCATGCATGCAAGTGAGGAGGAGGGCTGTGGTGGCAAGCAGCAGCAATGTACATCTTGCACCACCATTTTAATATATACACAAAACCTGTAAAACTTGGGAACCCCCTCCCACCCAAGCCCATAGGATCTCAAATGGCCCTGCTCTCCAAAAAACAAAGTTAGTATGAAATGGCTTGAAGGATCACTATTTGCCCAAACATAATTAAGTCTACAATAATAATAAAAAAACTACATTTAATGTCAGATAATGAACAAAAGACTAGGGCAAACAGGAATAAAAATACCCACTCATTTTAAGATCTAGGGTGTTCCAAAAGCAGTCATGGTAGATAATTTCTTTCTCTCTCACCCCGTTACATATACACACAACTACTTTATAATATGAAGTAATTGTGATTGGAGGAAGCTGGACTCACAGTACCACGTTCTCAACAGTATAAGCAGAGCTGTTCACAGCAAAGAGTCTTAAAATCTGGAAGTAAACATTGGTGTGAGAAAAACTGGTCCAAAATGTGACTGGAAAATTCAAGTGTGTCACAGAAACTAGGAGGCACCCCAGCAATCCTGGCCACCTTCCACCCCACCTCTTTCAAGCACCTAGTAGAGTTTTAATTCCTCCTCCCAGAAAATCCAGGCACCCAACTTCTCCTTCCTCATTCCCGGCGAAGGGACCCTAGCCAAGGTTCTGGCAGATGAGCTAGTTTTTCCAGCTTTCTCCCCCCTGCTTCGGACCCCTGCTGGGCTTGCTGGCGTAAGCAGCAGACTCGCCCGCTTGTGCCGCTGCAGCCAGACACTTAGGTCCTTGTTCCAGACAGCCATGGGGGTCCCCTCCATGGCAAGAGGCTTGGTCTTTTCTTTGCAAGAACAGAACTGTGAGCGGGACTGCTCAGCCATCACTGTTATTTCAAGGGACCTTCTCACTTGTACAAGCCTTTTGTATACACCCTACGTAATGTTTTTTCCTATTCATCTTGGCCTACACTGGCTCCCCCAGTCCCTGCATGCTTGACTGCTAGAAAGAGAGTGGCTGGCAACCCAAGTGCTCCATTCTACTGGTTCAGTCCTGAAGATACACTACCGAGTCCCCAGTGCCACACATAAGGTTGTGCTTTCTCTGCAACAACAAAGCCCTCCGTGCTTCCGAGCCACTCTGTTCTCTCATGGTGCATCAACTCACAACACGCAGGGCTTGGGGAAAAAAACAAAGCAAAACTCCAAGACTTAGTCCTTAGGAGGCCCAGCACAAATCCAGCAAATGAATGGTTAAATCTCGTTAATTCAAATTCTGATCAGCACCTTGCCGTGGAAGAAATCCTCATGTAAATAGGCGAGCATCAGCACATAATATATTTATGGCTTCCAAAGCCATAGTGCCCCCGAAGGGACCACTACATCGCCTGAAAGCACTGTGGGAAATTGAAATAGTAGGCCACAGACCTCCAACAGGGGCAGCCTGGAGCTGATCCCAGCATCCACTACTGCCACCGCAATGGCCTTCCTAACACAGGAGGGAGCATCGGATGGTATACATTGCTGAAGGGCCCCTCATATCTGAACCTTGCTCACTGGAAAACAGCAACACAGCAAATCAGCACAGTAAACCACAGGGACGCCCTTCAATCCGCCTCTCCTGATGCATCAGTAGCCAGACACCCGGCTATTGGGGGGCAGAAGATGTGGGAGGGGGTGGAGTGGCACGATGCTGCAGGAAAGTTGTGCAGGTCTTTGTGGGGAACCTTGTCTTCTAATCTAGCAGGTTCAAGGATAGAACTGGGGAGAAAGTCCATGTGACTGTACAGTAGGGAAGGAAAATTGTTTCCTTTCTTTTTGCAAAGAGCAAAGGGTGGTAGGTGACGCCCTTTGGCTGCCAACCAAGGCAGGTGCAGCCGGCTGAGTGTACCTTCCCTTAGCAACCACTCACTGAAGCTGCCACACCCCTGCCCAAGAGCACCTATCCTCTTTCCCAGCTCTCTGATGTCCTGGAGGGGACATTTGGATAAGCAACCCCTTACATCATGGCTTATACGCCCACAAGAGTCCTCTTTCTCCACACCAAGAGAATCTAGAATCCTTCCATCTCATCCACCATGCCTGGCATATTCTGTTCCTACAATATCCTTCAACTGTCGTTCCCGTGCACTTTGGATTAATCTGGGAAACCAATCCCTTTCATGTGGTGCCATATACTCATAAATGCTGACATAAAGTTAACAGCTCTTCTTAACATATTAGGACTCTCTCTTTAAAAACATTGCATCCAGGATTTTACGGAATAGCTCCAGTGCCGTTCTTCCCAGCCCATCTAGTTCCCATTCACTGCCACTCGGGCTCCGACATGCCATCTCCGGAGTGGCGTAATCGGTCCCCTGGAAGTCCAGAAATGATGGCTGTGCTGCCTTCTTTTCTTTCGCTCCAGATATACTCAGCAATTTAATCATTTTATAGGCTGGGAAGTCACTGCCACAAGATGCAGCGACGGCCAACCACTTGGGCAACTTTGAAAGGGGGTTTGAGCAATCCACGAGGGATAAAGGTGTACATCACAAACAGCCATGAGGACGAGGTATCGCCTCCAGGGTCAGAGATGCTGGGCTCTGCAGTGTTCATGTCCTGCTTGCGGACTTCTCATGGTTGGATGTTGTGTGAACAGAACACTGCACTAAATAGGCATTTGGCCTGGTCCAGCATCAATCTGTCTACCAACAACATTTGAAATGTTCACAGACCACACCTACCAGTTTGAGAGGAAGAAACGGCCATTCCCATTTCATCAAGGCCAATCCCAGGACCACACAGGCCACTGCTTTAAAACATTAGTCCTCGTCTCTCATCCAATGAACCCAGGAGTCCAGGCTCTGGCCTTCCCCCACCATAGATAATTCTTTCCTTCGTTGCTGGCAGAAGACAGTCCTGCCTTCTAGCGCATTCCACGCCGTCTCCTGCTAGGCTCTGCTCCCACCTCACCTGTTGGGCTTGGGCAACACCTGACCTAGTGCTGCTGAGGCCAGACGAGTGCCAAGCCACCCTGCCTCCTGCCAAACAGTGCTTGGCCAAGTGGCACTAACAAACCAGCTGCGCCCTCGATAGCTAATTGATTTGCTGAGCAATCCCAGGGTGAGGCCATTCGGGTGGTGGCAAACCGTTGCCTGGGGCCACTCAAGGGCTCTACAGGGCAAGAAGTCCTAGCAGAGGAACATGGGCTTCTTGCTGTAATTTCCACCCCCATGCACAGATTTCAAACCACCACCACTCAAAAATCAAAAGTCTGGTCAAGTATTTATTGTTGTGTGTGGCTGCAGCAGGGGCAGGAGGAGACCAGAAAGAAGTCAGGGAGTTAACAAGGCAGTCCATTATGTAGTAGCCTGCGGCTGCCAGTCTTCTTCCAGCCTAGCAAAGTTCCCACCTCCGGGCACTTGTATGACAAAGACAGAAAGCCAACAGGTGCAGCTTTCCCCAGGATGGGGATGCGACCCTTAGAAAATGCCTGAGAATGAAATTTACCCAATCAAATCACAGCTCAAAGCACCCAGGAACATTGCCAGGGGGTGGGGCAGCAATCCCAGCGTGGTCCAGGGCTAGAGCAAGGAAGAACAGAGGTGAGAGCCGCCAAAATACCAGGCACAAACAAAGCAGCGAGAACAGCCTGGTCCACTTTGGCCTCTTTCACAGAGGTTCCATACG